GCCCCGCCAGGAGAGTGCGCCAGCACCATCTCCTACCCCCTTCTTCCCTCTGAGGAGACCCCGCAAGACTTGCAACCAGGGGAGCAATGGGCAGCAGCAGCTCATCCGAGGCTTACCTGGGCTTACTTCTGAGGGATGTCAGAAAAAAGAGGGCCTTGGAGACAGGTTCAGGGGTTAGCCTGGGACCAGCTGCCACTGTCCATTGCTCCCCTGGCTGCAAGTCTTGGGAGATCCTTAGAGTTTAGGAGATGCACACCTGTGGGAAAAGAAGAGCGGAAAGAAAAAGGCATGGGTGTGCTTCTGGGTCCTTTGTCTTGAGGGCTTTATCTCTCTCTTGCAGGTGGGAATCTTAGGGAGGTCTCAGGGGAAGGTTTCAGCAAAATATTCATCAATTTTTCAGGTGTTCCCATTTGGGGTTGTGGTCTCCACTGATTGGTCAGTGCCAGGGCAGGGGGTCATTAGTCACTGCAGCTGGTCCTGGCATCCTTGCCCACCTGGTTTAGTTGTTTTTAGCCTGAAGCTGAAATACAATTGAAGCCTAGATATTATCTCTAGGGAGGTGGCCTTCTGTATCTGGCTTTAAATTGCTAGGCTAGTTTCTTCAGTTATCTGTCTCAGTTTCTCCATTCTACTTGCCTAGGAATTTTCCTAGCTTTTTACTATCTTGCCTTATCCCTATATTTGCATATAGAAAACTTAGATATAACACTAAGAATAAAATCAGAAAAAATGTTAATTGGGACTTTATCAAATTAATGACTTTTGTGCTTTAAAGTAGAAAATCGGGAAAATGAAAACACCTGTTGGAAACTTTGTATCCTGTTGCTGGGAATATAAAATTGTGTTGCAAGTGTGAAAAAATGGCAATTTCTAAAAAAATTAGGAATGCCCGGCCAGGCGTGGCTCAGCGGTTGAGCATCGACCTAGGATCCAGGCGATCGGGGTTCGAGTCCCAGTCAGGGCACATGCCCGGGTTGTGGGCTCGATCAATGACTCTCTCATCATTTATGTTTCTATCTCTCTCTCTCCCTCTCCTTTCCTCACTCTGAAATCAATAAAGATATATTTAAAAATAAATAAATAAAATAAAATAAAAATTAAAAAATTAGGAACAGTGTTACCATCTGATCTAGCAATCTACTTCTGGGTAAGTACCTGAAAGATTTGAAAGCAGGTAAGCAAACAGATATATGTCAACTCATATTCATAGTAACATTATTTACAATAGTCAAAAGGTGGAAGTAACTGTCCATCAATGGATGGATGGATCAAAAACATTTGGTGCATGCATAAAATGTATTTCAGCTTCCAAAAGAAAGCAAATCCTGACATATGGTATAACATGGATGAACCTTAAGAACATTAGGTTAAGTGAAATTATCCTGTCAGAAAAGGTCAAACACTGTCTGATTCTACTGGTACGAGGTACCTAGAGTTGTGAAATTTATAGAGATAAAAGTAAAATTGTTGGTTCCAGGCGCTGCAGTAATAATTGGATGTGCAGTTGTGTCTAATGAGATAGATTTTCAGTTTTGCAAAATTAAATAGTTCTGGAGACTGATGCACTTTACACTACTGATACACTTAAAAATGGTTAAAGTGAGCCTGGCCCGCACGGCTCAGTGGTTGAGTGTCGGCCCATGAACCAGGAGATCACGGTTCCATTTGCTGGTCAGGGCACATGCCTGGGTTGCTGACTCTTTCCCCAGTAGGAGGCGTGCAGGAGGCAGCTGGTCAATGCCTCATCCTTGATGTTTTTCTCTCTCTCTCCCTCTACCTTTCTCTCTCTGAACTCAATACAAATATATTTTTAAAAATGGTTTAATTGTAATGTTTATTGTATGTGTATATCACCACAATTTAAGTAAAAGTGTTCAGCAGGAGAGTTAAAACAGCCCACAGATGGAAAAGATAATGCAAATCATATAGCACTATGATTACCATCTGACCTAACAATCAACCTCTGGGTAAGTACCTGAAAGGTTTGAAAGCAGGGAAACAAACAGATATGTCCATTCATATTCACAGTAACATAATTTACAATAGTCAAATAATGTTAAACAGCAGATAAGAGACATATAGAAAATAAAGACCCTTTATAATTTAAATATAAAGTCAAATACTCAAATTAAAAATGTTAAAGGATATAAATATACACTTTCCAAGGAATTTATGTATGCAAATGGCCATGAGCACATGAAAATATGCTTGACATCAGTGTCATTAGAAAAGGCAACTCAGCCCTGGCCGGTTTGGCTCAGTGGTTAGAGCGTCAGCCCGCAGACAGAAGAGTCTCGGGTTCGATTCCAGCGAAGGGCATGTACCTTGGTTGCAGGCTCCATTCCCTGCCCTGCCCGCGTCAGGGCGTGTGCAGGAAGCAACCAATCAATGTGTGTGTCTCTCTCTTCCACTTTCTCTGGAAAGCAATGGGAAAAAATCTCCTCCTCAGGTGAGGATGAAAGAAAGAAACAAGGCGACTCAAACCCTAATGAGATACCACTTCACAATCAGTAGGGTAGCTAGAAGCAAAATGGGAGACAAATGTGGAGTGTATGTGAAGCCATTCGAACCCTATACACCGGTGGTGCAAACACAAAATGGTGCAACCACTTTGGAATACAGTCTGGCAGACCCCAAAAGTAAAGCTATTAATATCATAGGACTCATCAATTCCTCTTCTAGGTATATACCCATGAAAAAAGAAAACGTGTTCTAACAAATATTTGTACATGAACTTTCTAAGCAGTGTTACTTATACTGGCTCCATTCGGAAACCCAATCAGGAGCTCCCTGTGCGCACCTGCGCCCACGTGTTCGCAAAGAGCGAGGCGATCACAGCCGAGTCAGCCCCGAAGGTGCGAGGCCGCGGAGGAGTCCGCCCGGGGCCTGGGTGGGCTGCGGCCCGGAGCGTCTTGGTTCTGTCAATCAGGCACGAAGGGAGTGCGCGTTGATTTCTGTCCAATCACGGCCGCCGCTGGGCACGTGGGCGGGGCCGCGCACCGCCCAGGTGTAGGTGTTCCAGCTCCGCCGCTTCCTGGTTGACCGCGCGCTCCTTGCCTTCAGCCTTCCGCGGGGCTCTGCCGCTTCCTCCGTGGCGCGGTGATCCTCGCAGGTGGCGGGAGTGGCAGGAAGGACTCGGGGAGACCCAGGAAACCCAGAAATGGTGAGTGCGCAGGGCCAGGTACGGAGAAGGGGGGGAGGTGGTTGGAGTCGGCTGGGGCGGGGACCTCGTTCCCCTCGGTCAGGTGCCCCGCGGGTCAGGTCCGGAGTCTGCGGATCCTAGTCCGCCGGGGGCGCCGCTACGACCTCGGTCCCCTAGACTCTCCGCGCGGGGCTGGGCCGTTAGGACCCCGGGGATCCCGTTGGTTTCTGCGCGCGGCGACCTCGGCCTGGAGCCTCGGGGTAGCGCTGCGCCCGAGCCCCGCGGCGTCCCAGATGGTGCAGCGACCGCGGGGGGCGGTCGTCGGGACAGTCGGGACTCAGTCTTCGGGGATTCGTGCGTCGGAGCAGCTGTGGTCTGTGCTCCTCATTTATTTATTTCTCCTCAAGGGGACCCATTTTCTCCTAAGTTTTCCAAATGTTTTGGAAGCAGGGTCTCTATTCCAGGACAAATTGGCTATTATAGGACTGGCAACAAGTCCCTAAGTTCTTAGATTCCTTCAGGAAATTCCGAAGCCAAACAACTATCCCTCTTTGAGTCACAGCGTCAACAACTATTTAATAGCCCTTCAGGTGCGTTTCAAACGGACCTGATATTTTAATAGTTTGTCTTTAAAAAAAAAAACAAGAGTAATGAAATGCAGTTTTTAAAGGATTTATATTTGTTGTGGATGTTTTACATTAGAAGGAAGCCAAGAGTAATCACCTACCTGGAAGATGTTTGAAATCCCCGTTTCTCTTCCCCTAGGACCCTCCCTGGGCACAGACATCCTATAAGAAGTCCTTTGGGTGGAGGTTCCCCTTTGGAAACTTTCCTGGGTCTTCTCTGCTGTCAGCACTGTCCCTTCCCTGGGTTTGTCACTTGAAAATATTTATTGATCTGAGTCTCATTTTTTCAATACAAGTAAAATGTATTTAATCACTAGAGCTTGAAAGACAGTATAAAATGGTTCCAACCAGGCACAAAAAATGTGAACTTAGAAAAAATAAAATATTGCAGTATTATATTCAGTTTTTAAAGAATTCTTTCACTCTTTCTTCCTGGGCATGTGTAGTAAGTTTCTTAAGTTTGTTTTGTTTTCGGAGCTTTGAAATATATTTTCAGGGCTTAGTCTTGCAAAGTGGAATTGTGCAAGTTAGATTCATGAGAAAAGCCAGGAAGCCCTGGAAAGCTGGGGTTGCGAGGCGGGGTGGGGAATGGGGAACTCGGCAGGGAGGGTTGGGGTAGGGGCAGTGATGATGCCCTTTCTGAGGCTGTAGTTCTGGCTTTTTAGGTTTAGACAGTTTTAGGTTTTTTGTTGTTTTGCATTCAGATTATAATCTGTGTACATTGAGAAAGTCTGAGGATGAGGTGTTTTATCTCATGGACAAATGGTTTATGAATTTGGGGTTTCATCTGGGTCAGAACTTAAACTGAATCAGTCTCAGTCTTTGGTTTTCTCACTGGGAATGGAAGCCTGGAGGAGGGAGCACTTCCATGCTTACAGGTGAGGGGAGAGAATGTGGAGCTCCCAGAGTTCAATCCTATGGCTGCCCAGGTGTCCCCACTCTCCTTCCCCAAGGACTTACTTGCTGTAGGGATTCTGTTTCAACTGGGGGTGTCTAGACTGGTGTCAACATCAAAACGTCCAAATCAGTAGAAATTTTTAAAAAGAGTTTATTAGAGTTTATTTGATCCAAACAGAGGATATGCCCAGAAGCAAGATCTCAAAAGACTGAGAAAATGCTCCTAAGAATGACAGCTTGCAGTTCTTTGAACACTTTTGGAATTAAGGGAGGAAATCTAAAGATTACATGAAGATGAAAGACAGCAAGACCAGGATTGGATTACAGCACAGGGAACTAAATTATGTGTTCCCTTGAGGGTGGTTTCACCTCAGGGGTCTGAAAAAGATGACTCTTGCACTTCAAAGTATCTTAACCCGGATGCACAAGAACAATGGACAGGGCTTGCTTAAGGGAAGATAAACCTTGTAATAAACCTATGCTGAGGTGGGGTGACCCTACCTGACCTACTCAGTTAAAAATTTGGTCTGATCATCCTGTGAGGTGAGTTTCCCTTACTAAACTTTGTCGGATTTATTATGGAGCTCCTTTTCATTCACACTGGGAATATGCTCAGTTTTCTTAATGCATGTTTTTCTTCTGAACTCTAGAGAAGCAGACTGCTATGTTTTGATTTCAAGACTTGGGTTTCTTTGGATTTACTTCTTCATTGAATATTACAGCTCTTTAATTTTACTTGACATTAGCACTTGGGCTTTTAAAATCTCAGTTGATTGAGTGATACCATGTGAGTAAAGCAAGAAAATTGTGGAATTAATAGAATTTTGGTTCTGTTTAGGCAAGAGAACATGGAGATGTGAGATGGGTGTCTTTAAGTTCTCAGGTGCTTTTTTCTGTTTTTTAAAAAATGTTTTTTTGAAAGTTGATTTCAGAGAGGAAGGGAGAGGGACAGAGAGATAGAAACATCAATGATGAGAGTCATTGATCAGCTGCCTCCTGCATACCCCCTGCTGGGAATCGAGCCCACAACCCGGGCATGTGCCCTGACCAGGAATTGAACCTCGATCTCCTGGATCCTAGGTCAATGCTCAACCACTGAGCCATACCCGGCCAGGCAAACCTAGGTTCTATATACAAGGTACTCTGAGTTGTTTTTTCTGTGTGGGAATTTTTTTTTAAATCTCTCCATTGATTTTAAATGGTAACTTTGTTGGGTAGAGTATTGTTGATTGTAGGATTTTCCCCCCCATTTATCTTTTTGAATGTATTATGCTGTTTTCTGGACTGCAAAGTTTCTTCTGAAAAATTAGTGGATAGTCTTATGGGTGTCCTCTCTGTGTATCTAGCTGGTTTTCTCTTGCTGCTTTTAAGATTGTATTTATCTTTATTTTTTCTCATTAAACTTTGTTTTAATGGGCCTCAAAATTCTGTGAGATTTAAAAAAAATGTATCTTTATTGATTTCAGAGAGAGGAAAGGAGAGATAGAAAAATCAGTGATGAGAGAGTCATTGATTGGCTGCCTCCTGAATGCCCCTACTGGGAATCGAGCCCCCAACCCGGGAATGTGCCTTGACTGGGAATGGGACCATGATCTGGACCCACAGTCAGTGCTCAGCCTCTAAGCCACACTGGCTGGGCTGTGATAGATATTTGGTCAAGTTTCTTGGTGTTTTTTTTTTGTTTTTTNGCCCCTACTGGGAATCGAGCCCCCAACCCGGGAATGTGCCTTGACTGGGAATGGGACCATGATCTGGACCCACAGTCAGTGCTCAGCCTCTAAGCCACACTGGCTGGGCTGTGATAGATATTTGGTCAAGTTTCTTGGTGTGTTTTTTTTGTTTTGTTTTTTAAATATATCTTTATAGATTTCAGAGAGAGGAAGGGGGAGAGAAAGAGAGAGATAGAAACATCAGTGATGAGAGAGTCATTGATCGGCTGCCACCTGCATGCCCCAGACTGGGGATTGAGCCCGCAACCTGGGCATGTGCCCTGACCGGGAAGCGAACTGCAATCTCCTGGATCCTAGGTCAGTGCTCAACCACTGAACCACACTCAGCTGGGCCTGGTCAAGTTGTTTCTAAAAATTATGGATTTTAAAAACTACTAACTTCAAAACGGCCACACACACACACACACAAATTGTCCACAAAACATTTTCTTTCTTTCTGAAGGTTTTACAATGCACTGTAATTATTAACTAGTCTTACTATTTAACTTAAATGGCCAATTGAGATAAAACATTTCTGAGACCATTCTTCCAACGTTAATTAAGACTGGGGTGGCTATTTTGGGGGGATAATATTTATTTAGCCTTCTGAAATCTTAAGGCAGTCTTGGTGACTTTGCCTTCTTGTCCACTGCTTTGATGACACCCACAGCAGCTATCTGTGTCCTGTCATGAACAGCAAAATGGCCCAGAGGAGGATAGCCAGAGAAGCTCTCAACACACATGGGCTTGCCAGGAAGCCATATTAACAATGGCAGCATCACCAGATTTCAAAAACTTTGGACCATCTTCCAGCATTTTTTTTCAGAACAACGGTCAGTCTTCTCCTTCAGCTCAGCAAATTTGCAAGCAGTGTCAGCTGTGTGGCAACCCAGCACACGTGCGCATCCAGCTCTGGTTTGGCCTGGATGGCTCAGGATGATCACCTGAGCTGTGAAGCCTGCTTCCTTTGGGGGTCATTTTTGCTGTCGCCAGCCACACTGCCACCTGAACATCTTTGACGTGTTCTTGACATTGAAGTACACATTGTCTACAGGAAGAGCTTCACTCAAAGCCTCATGGTGCATTTTAATGTACATTACTTCAGTTGTAGCATTGATTGGATCAAAGGTCACCACCGTGATGGGTTTGAGAACACTAGTCTCTACTCAGCTCACGACAGTACCAACATCAGCAATTCTGTAGACATTCTGGAGGGGCAGATGCAGGAGCTTGTCAGTTATACTGCTTTGTGGCAGGATGTGATCCAGAGCTTCAAGCAGTGCGGCTCCGCTGGCATTGCCATCTTCATGGGTACTTTCCATCACTTGAACAAAGGCATGTGTGCACTTGCCTTTGATTCCTGGTCATGGGTATTGCTTCCTGTCTTTTTGGTTCTTTGTTGTTTTTACATTATTTTTTGCTGAGATAGATTTGAGAACTGGTTGTGTTTAGAACAGAATATTTGGGCCATATTTTAAAATGTCACGTTTATTTTCTCTTTCCCAATTTTGTTAACACCAGGATGCCCTCTGACCTAAATTATCATATGGCTCTAAAAATAGAAGTTCATTTCAAGTTTCTGGGCTTTTTTCCTGTCATTGGTGGAATGATATCTTGTAAGTTACTTAAATTCCAATGCAGAAACTTGAAGTCTCTAACTCCAGTTACTGATAATTGACTGCTGACAGCTTTAAAACTTCGTAACTTCTTTTTCCCCTTGTGTTCCCCAGAAGAAGGGAAGGCATTGTTTAGATACACAGATACTTGCTCTTATGTTACAATTGCCTACAGTATTCAGTAGGATAATATGCCATACAGGTTTGTAGCCTAGGAGCAATCTGCTGTACAATATAGCGTAGGCATGTGATAGGCTACATAATCTAGGTTTGTGTCTGCACACTGTATTATGTTCCCACAATGACAAAATTTCCTAACAACACATATCTCAGAATGTTTCTTTGTCATTAAGTGGCACATGATTAACGTTTTAGCTCATCACATCCTACATAAAGGGAAAGGAAGAACTAAAACTGTGATAAATAATATACAAGGTAAAAGCAGTGCTTCTCCATAGAATATTTTTATTCAGCCACATGCATCTGATTACTTGTAATGTCCTGGAGGACTTCAGTAAAATGTGGCCTGCTGCACCTTGTTAAAACTTGAGTTACCAAAGACCAAGTGGACTCTCATGTTTGGTGGTTGGAAAGCTTCTAGTTCTTAACTAAATTTTGTTGACTACAGATACGACTCTGACTTGGGAGTGCTGTAAATAGTAATATGGGCGAAAATGAATTTTCTCAAAATGCAGTCATGGCATTAAAATGGTAATATTTGTTTTATTTGTATAGCATTTTTTGTCATTTCCCAATATGCTCTGAACTTCGTCATTAGAGAAATAAAAATAATGTGAGCGCACTGAAAATGTGTAAACAATTTCCATGTGTTCCTGATGGTGTTAAATTTATGAGGGAGTAAGTATGGACAAAGAGCAAGTTTCTGATGATCAAGTCATAGAATAATAGTTTGAAGATGACAGAATCATACATAACCTTCTCTTAAATGGATTATAGGTGTCCAGTGCTGTCAGTATCACAAATTTTACTCTACATGTATTGAATTGTTTTAGGAGTCATTCGTCCTTGAAGATGTGGCTGTAACGTTCACCCTGGAGGAGTGGGCTTTACTAAATCCTTCACAGAAGAAACTCTACAGAGATGTAATGTGGGAGACCTCCAGGAACCTGGCTTCAATAGGTAAGGGCTACAAGTTACCTTTAGTTCCTCATTTGGAGGACAAGTGGTTCTTACCCATCAACATATTATAAGACGTAATGTGGGAAGGAAGGACATTGGCAAATAGTCAATGCTCATCGTAGCAGAATGCACTAATTTTACTATACTTCTAATATTTTGTAATTACTTTTCTGGGTTTTCATTTTTTAGGTAAAAAATGGGAAGATCATGACACTGAAGATCAGAACAAAAGCCAGGAGAGAAAGCAAAGGTGAGTTAACATTTAACAATACAAAGCAGTATTTCAGATGGGAAACCTGTTTCCTATTAAATTTTAAAAAGAAGCAACTGAAATAACCCCTTTTTTTTGTTATGTATTTGGTTAACATGTAATAATTTAAATGTGACACTACTAAAAAAATTTTCACCAAATTGCATTTTTATGTATGTCAGTGTTTGGAAAATAGATCACAAAAAAATCAGCATTGTTAAACCCTATATATAAATGTCACTGTTTTATTGATAACAAGGAGGAACTTGTCTTGCAGAGACTTCATTATATTAAATTTCAAACAATTCAGGCAAAACAGAATACCTACACTTTTGGTATGACTCATAAATATGTAGTTCAAATATTTTAATAACAACTAATAAAAAATCATTAATAATGTGCTTCTTGGTTTTTATAGAATTCTTATGTTAAGGAAAATCTGTGAAAGGAAAAAGGTTAGTCAATGGGGAGAAAATATCAGCCTTAGTCCAGATCTCAGCCTGAACAAGCAATCTCTTCCTGGAGTAAAACCATATGAACACAGAGTGTGTGGGGAAGTCTTCACGGATCCTTCATCCCATAATAGTCACACCAGATGTCACACTGGACACAAGCCCTCTGAGTATCAGAAATATAGACAGAAGCCATATAAATGTAACATATGTAGGCAAGTCTTTAGTTCCCTTCGGTGTATTGAAAAACATGAAAGGACTCACAATGAAGAGAAAACCTATAAATGTAAGAAATGTGGAAAAGCCTTTATGGAACTCAACTTGTTTCAAAGACACATGATCGCACATACTGCAGATGGTCCTCGTAAATGTAAGGTGCATGGGAAAACCTTTTGTCCTTCAGCTTCTCCTCAGACCTGTGAGAGAACCCACCCTGGAGAGAAACCCTATCATTGCAAACACTGTGGAAAAGCCCTCAGAAATTACCGAAGTTTTCAAAGACATGAAAGAAGTCACACTGAAGAGAAACGCTATGCGTGTAAGTTATGTGGAAAGGCCTTCAGATATCACAGTTCCTTAGAACCACACAAATGGACTCACACAGCAGAAAAACCCTATGAATGTAAGGAGTGTGGAAGAGCATTCAAACAATACAGTGCCTTACAAATACATAGAGAGACTCACACAGGACGGAAATCTTATGAATGTAAGCATTGTGGTAAAGCCTACAGTTACCTCAGCTCCCTGCGAGTACACATGAAAATGCACACTGGAAATGTTCCTTATCAGTGTAAGGAATGTGGAAAAGCATTCGCTCGCCTCAGTTGGTATCAAAGACACGAAAGGACTCACACTGGAGAGAAACCCTATGAATGTAAACGATGTGGAAAAGCCTACAGAGATTATAGTTCCTTACAAGTCCATGAAAGAAATCATACTGGAGTGAGGCCGTTTAAATGCAAGGAATGTAAAAAAGCCTTCACTTGTAACAAAATCCTTCAGTTCCATTTGAGAGTGCACACAAGAGAAACCATACAAATGTGAAGAATGTGGGAAAGCCTGTATCGATCACTTCTTTTCAAAGGGCATAGGAGGACTCACCGAATAGAATCTAGTAAATGTAAGTAAATGTGTGAGAAAGACTTCAGTTTGCCCACATCTTTACATGTCGAAACTCCCACTGAAATAAATAAAAATGTAAATATAAATAATCTGATAAGACTCGATTAATTTATGTATGCTGTTCCAGAAAACTTTGAACATTAGAGTTGTTTTTAAAATTGTAAATTGTGTTTACCAAGTTTATGTTATGGGAATATGGATTTCTATTACAGTTGTCCCTTGATTAATGTGGATTAGGGCTGTCAACTGCCCACATAGTCAAAAATCTTTGTAGAACTTAAACCATTCCTCCATGTGGTTTCCCAACCATGAAGGGAAACTACGTAGAGCTTATCCTTTAAAAACAAGGGTTTGAGCTGTTGCTTATAAGTGAACACATGCAGTTCAAATCTCTCTTGTTGCCCTGGCCTGTGTGGCTCAGTGGTGAGTGTTAGCCCGTGGACGTAAGGGTCTGGGTTGGATTCCTGGTCAGGGGCAGACACCTTGGTTACAGGTTCAATCCCGGGCCCAGGTCGGGGGCTCACAGGGGAGGTAACCAATGGATGTGTCTCTCTCAGGTCAATGTTTCTCTCTCCCCCTCCCTGCCTTCCACTCTCCAAAGTCAATCGGAAAAAATATCCTCGGATGAGGATTAGAAAAGCAAAGCAAAGCAAACATCCCTGGCCCGGGTGATGTGGCCCAGTTGGTTGAGTCCTCCCATGCACCGGGTGGTGGCCGGCTGGGTTCTGGTCAGGGCACAGGTAGCGGCTGGGAGCTCGAGCCCGCCCCAGGAGGGGGCCAGCTGGAGGCGCTCTCCCTCTCTCTAAAACATGCGCATGCACACACACACATATTTAATATACATATATACACATATATACGTATACATATATACGTATATATGTGTGTGTGTATATATACATACACTAAAGCAAACGCCCCTGAAAGGGACAGTCCGCACCCACTGGCCAACGCTGGCTCTGCTGAGCCATCTGACAGGCTCCAGTTGTCGCTGGGAAATAAGGGAGGCGGGTCTTTGTGAACTGTCCAATCAGAGGCGCAGGAGGGCAGGTGGGTGAGGCAACGCCAGCCAACTGAGCGGCCTCGTGGACGCGCAGGTCACGTGAGAGGCGCGGTTAACAGCCCAGGTGCATCTGCCTCAGCATCAGCCCCATTGTGACCTAAGCCGCGAGCGGTAGCTGCAGGGAGACGCCTGGGGGACCCCAGAAGCTGGGAAATGGTGAGCGTGTGGGCCCGGGTGTCCCAGGACTGGGAGGAGGGGCTGGTTGGAACAGGCTGTGGCTAGACCCGGCCTCCCCGCGGTCAGGTCCGGAGTCTTTAGCTGCGGCGCCCAGGCGCGTGGGTTCGGACCTCAGTCTCCTCCCCTCGCAGGTGGGGGCTGGGCTGGCCGCTGAGCCCGGCGTCCTCTCCAGCCTCTGCCAGCGACGACATCGGCCCCAGTGCCTCTCTGCGCCCCGTGCCTCCCGGGGGTGCGGTGACCTCGGGGAAGGCCATCAGGGGACAATCTTGACTCCTCCGGGGTTCCTGTGTGGGAAGAGCTGTGGTCCCTGAGCTTCCAAGTCCCTCCTTTCTCCCCAGGGGCACCTGTTTTCCTGAGTTTTACAGATGATTGGGGAGCGGGGTCTCAAATCCACGACCCTGTCCCCTCCACCCTCCCAGGCTTCTTAGGGGGGTGACGATAACTGCCTAAATTTCCAAGTCCCTGCCCATATTCCCAAACGCCAACTCCCCTCTCCAGTTGAAGAATGATAACTATTTGTCTTCTGGGGTGCATTTCAAACAGACCCATATTTGAATTACCACTTTTCCACAGTCAGTGGATGGCTATTTTAATGGAGTGTGTGTGTGTGTGTGTGGATATTTTACATGAGAGAAATGTACCCGGAACTACAGTGTTTGAAATCCTTGTGCCCTACCTCCCAGGATCTTTCTTGGGCACAGACATCCTATGGGAAGGCCTTTGGGTGAAAAAGTTCCTCCTCGAAACTTTCCTGGGCGGCCTGTCCTGTCAGCACTGCCCCTGCCTGGGTGTGACACCTTGAAAAGATTTATTCCTTTTTTTAAAGTCTCAATTTTTCAACAAATGCAAAATGTATTTAATCAATAGATATTGAAAGGCAGTATGAAATAGTCTCAAACAGGCATAAGAGGTAAATTTTAGATACACGCCCCCACAGTATTCCAGTATGACACTGCATGTGTTAAAAGCTATTTTCCTCCTCTGCGTGTTTTAGTAATATTCTGAGGTCTGCTCTTTTATTTTGGGTGAGTTCAAATGGATTTCCAGGGCTTCGACTTGCAGACCTAAAGTATGCAAATATGAGTAATAGTCTATAAAAAAATTTACTGTTATGAAAACAATGATTAACATCTTTTTTTTCAATGCAATACATGCTTATGAGATTTCTTGTTCAGCTAGCAAAGTGCCTTACAATTTTTTTAATTGAATTTATTTGGGTGACATTAGTTAATAAAATTATACAGGTTTTATATAGTTCTACAATTGATCATCTGTATATTGTATTGTGTGTTTACCACACAAGTCAGGTCTCCTTCCATCACCAGCCTGACAATTTTCTTCCCTTTTTTTCTTGAAGACTGTGTTTGAGCATTTTTGCCAGATTATTCAAACCCTGGCTTTGTGTCATTGAACAAATATAGGGTGGTCCAGAGCACCTCCAGTGGGGGGCAGAAGCCTGTGGTCAGTGACCCAAGCTAAGAACCCTTTGAGCCTGCAAAGGGAAGTACTTGCTCAGTTGGCTGTTCCTGGGGAGCCTCCCCTGCAGGTGTCCTACCTGCTCACACCAACCATGGAAGGAGCCTTTACACTAAGAAGCTACAGCCCTTAAAGCTGGGGGTGCAGGTGCACATGGGGGAGGGGAGATGCCCCTTCTGAGGTTTTACTTGTAGTTCCCCTGGGCCTGTTTCTAGGCATAGATTGGAGTTTTGCATCCACAGTGCAGGTGCACTCAGAGTGTAATTTGTGCACATTGAGAAAGTCTGTGAAAGGAGTCTGTGTCCTGAATCATGGTCCATGAATTTGGGAGTTCATTTGGGTCAGAATCTGACACTGAATCCAGCTGAGCATTTCTTCATTGTGAGCTGAGGCCTGAGAGAGGAAACATTTCCATTATTCCCCAGGGGGAGGAGGTGTTGGGGCTCCCAGACTTCATTCCTGGGGCTGCTCAGGTGTCCCTCCCCTCCTTCCCCAGGGGCTGTTCCACTCCAGGGGTTCTGTGTCAACCTGGACAGTTCAGAATGTGGGACCTTCTGAAAGTGGCTTTCCTTCTGTCCTGGGGGAAGCAGGCTGCTCATCTGAGCTGATTCCAGTGCCTCTGTTTCTTTCCTCTGGATCATTTATCCACTGAATAGTGCAGCCTTTCACTCTAGTTTCCCTGAGCACGTGGTAATTTTATTCCCATGTGGGAAATAAGAGTTTTGGTTTCTTGGGATTAAAAATGTAAGACAAATGAGAAAAATGTCATTAATGAAAGAAAATTGTGCAACTAAGTAGAATTTTTGTTCCTTTTAAGTAAGAGACCCTGGAGATATGAGATGTATTTTTAAACCTTCTGTGTAAAGCAGGTTGTTCTGGGATTCATGGATATTGCGTGGAGTTTTTTTGTTTTTTGGTAGGTCATGCCAGGAGCAGAATATTTGGAGCATTTTTCTGAATGCCGTGTTTGTTTTCTCTTTGCATATTTTGGAGACACTGTGTTATCCTGTGTCCTAAATGCTCTGATGGATCTCAGAAGAGTTCTTTTTTTTTTTTATTTCTCTAGTGAGGTCAGGAATGACATACTCTAAATTACTGAAATGCCAGGCCAGAAACTGGAGGTCTCTGACTCCATTTTTTCATTGACAGCTGACAGCTTTTAAACTGCACCCCTCCTTCTTCCCCTTGTGCCTACAGCTGTACAAGGTGATAAGAAAGCCCGACTGCCGCCTCCAATGGGGCAGCAAGAGATCGAATCCTCACAAGTTACTGCTCTTGTGTGTGAACTCACCCTAGCCCACACCCTAAGCTCAATAAAACAAGTTCATGCACTTTTCCATGCTCTCTAAAACTATTTCATGCCTGATTGAGAGGCCTTCCTTACTCTTCCCAAAGACTCACTTGTGGGCATCATAAACCCTTCCGTATCCTGTTGGTCGTGTGTGGTGTCATCAACTGAGGGATTCCCATGCTCAGGGGTTGAGCTGTCACACTTCTTTACTCCATGGGGCACTTGGAAGTGACAAGAAGGGAGGGAATTCTCTAGAGTGGCTGGGTAAGAAACACCCTCCTGACAGGAATGGAAATGTTTTCTTTTGGAGGAAGGTACTGCTGACACCTTCATGTAACTTATAATGGGCAGATAACCATCAAACTGTGTCAATGGACTCTTGCAATCTGCAGCTTTTAACCCATTCCTCAGTGTCAGCTGGGCTCAGGATAGACTGCTATGGTTGTGCTAGGGAGCGCACTTCTGGCATATTATTAGCTCAGTGTATGCCTGTGTGTGTCAAAAATGGTCAGGAAGTGGCACTGAGACACAAGTGTAGGGATTTTTGTGGTGCAAGTTGTCATGTCTTCCTATCTGCGCTGTTAGTTCCAAATAACTTTCTATACAGAGAAAGGAAGAATTCAGTTTGTGATCAATATTACACAAGGTAAAAGCAGTGTTTCCCTTAAGAATATTTTCATTCAGCCAGCTGCCTCTGATTACACACATACTTCACAGATATTCTAGGCCATTGAATAAAGTCAGTGTCTCAATAAAGTCCCATGACTTTTGATTTCCTGGTGTATAAAGAAGTTCTGTTTACATTGTACTGCAGTCTGTTAAGTGTGTAATAGCACTATGTCTAAAAGATCACTGTATATACTTTAAAAATATGTTATTTCTGGCCTGGCCGGTATGGCTCAGTGATTGAGCATCAACCTATAATCCAGGAGATTGAGGTTCGATTCCAGGTCAGGGCACATGCCCAGGTTGTGGGCTCAGTCCCCGGTGCAGGGCGAGGCAGCCAATTAATGATTTTCTCATCATTGATGTTTCTCTCTCTCTCTCTCCCTCTCCCTTCCTCTCTCTGAAACCAATAAAGATATCTTTTTTAAAAAATAAAAATATGTTATTTCTTCCCTGGCTGATGTGGCTCAGTGGGTTGGAGTGTCATCCATGCACCAAAGGTTTTTGAATTTGATTCCAGTCAAGGCACATACTTAGGTTGCTGGTTTGATCCCTGGTCTAGTTGGGGGGAGTATGAGAGGCAGCAGACCGGTGTTTCTCTCTCGCATCAATCTCTTTCTTTCTCTCTGTCATCCCCTCTCTCTAAAATCAATAAACATATACTCGTGAGGATTGAAAAAAAAAAAACTTCTAAAAATGCTAACCATCATCTGCTCCTTCAGTGAGTCATAATCTTATTGCTGGCAGAGGGTCTTGTCTCAATAATATATACCAAGCACAGTAAAGCAAAGCTAAATAAAGCGAGGCATGTCTGCGCTTCTGATGGTCTGGAGGCAATATGTATGGCCAGCTAGGCTTCGTTATAGTTGGAATTTCACAAACCTCCTGGACTCTCTGTTTTTGGTGATGGGAATAGAAAAAAAAGCTTCCAGTTTTTCACTATGTTTTTATTCATTGAAACCTCATGCAGATGTGACCGTTTTATGGAGTCCAATAAATGGTGACTAAAATGGAGATGAAAGAATTTTTTGTATAGGGAATTGATGGTCTGAAAATGATATTAGTTTCATTTATATAGCACTTTTGTCGTTCCCCCAAATTATTTGAATCCTGTCATTTTAAAAAAAGTAATGTGGTTACAGTAAAAATATGTTGATAATTTCCATGTGTTTACACATCCTTCCTATAAATGGAGTCTGGGTGTCCAGTGCTGTCAGTCTCACACATCCTACTCTACACCTATTGGGATATTTTAGGACTCTGTGGCCTTTGAAGATGTAGCTGTGAACTTCACCCTAGAGGAATGGGCTTTACTGAATCTTTCACAGAAGAAACTCTACAGAGATGTGATGTGGGAAACCTTCAGGAACCTGGTCTCCATAGGTAAGGATGACAAGCTCCCTTCACTGTCAATTAGAGAACAAGTGTTTCTTGGCCCTCAACATTGTCCTAAGATGTGGAATGTGGGGAGGGAGGATATTGGTAAATAAATTGGGCATTGTCACAGCTCATCATAGAACTAGAATCTAATAATTTTTGTACGATTTCTAGTATTTTGGAACCAATTTTCTGGGTCTTCATTTTAGGTAAAAAATGGGAAGATTATGACATGGAAGAAGACCAGAAAAGAAAACAAAAGTGAGTCACACAACAGAAAGCACTATCTCACATGAGAAATCAGTTATGCTACAAAATTTTTAAAAGAAGCAACCAAAGCAACCCTTACTTCACATTTCTTCTCAGAAAATTATCAAATTACTTTTTTATATATGACAGATATTCAGTGTTTGCAAACTAGTTTACATGGAAGTAGCACAAATAAATCCTTCACATAAATATCACTTTTTTGCTGTTTTTTTAAATTTATTTAACTATAGTTGGTATACATATTATATTTGTTATATTAGTTTCAGGTGTACAATACAGTGATTTAACATTTTTATACCTTGTAATATGATCTCCCCATTAATTGTAGTCATCGTCTTTCACCGTGTAAATCTATCACCCTGTTCTGACTCTACCTTTTTTACTCATTCCCCCTACTTCTTCCTCTCTGGTAACCATCCCTTTGATCTCTGTTTCTGTGAGTCTGTTTTTGTTCTTTTTCTTTATTTGTTTCGTTTTTATGGATTCCACATATAAGTGAAACCATACGGTGTTTGACTTATTTCACTTAGGTCCATCTGTGTTGTTGCAAAGGCAAGATTTATTTTTTTAATTGGCTAAGTAATATTCCATTATACACACACACACACATGTACATACATACATACGTACCACATCTTCATTCATCTATCTTGCTTATTATAAATAATGTTGCAGTGAACATAGGAGTATATATACCCTTTCAAAGCAGTGTTTTAAGTGGAATTGCTGCATCTTATAGTAGATCTATTTTTAGTTTTTTGAGAAATCTCCATACTGTTTTCCATCATGGTTATCCCAATTAGCAGTCCCACCAGCAGTGCACAGGGCTTCCCTTTTCTCTACATCCTCGCCAACATGTTATTTGTTCATTATTTTATAATAGCCATTCTGATGAGTGTGAGATGGTATCTCATTGTGGTTTTAATTTGCATTTTCTTGTTGATTAATGATATCAAGCATCTTTTTATGTCCATTGGCTATTTCTGTGGGGGTTTTTTTGAGAAATGTCTTTTCATGTCCTCTGCCCACTTTTTTTTCTTTTTTTGTACCCAAGTTGGTGTGCCATTTTTGGAGGTACTACAATTTTGGGTTGATATGCTGATTTACTGTCTGTTTTCATGACAGTACCATGCTGTTTTGATTTCTTTAGCCTTGTAATATAGTTTCAAATCAGGGAGTGTGGGAACTCCAGCTTTGTTCTCCTTTCTCAAGATTGTTTTGTCTACCCATGCTCTTTTTTGGTTCCATATGTATTTTAGGATTGTTTGATCTAGTTTTGAGAAGAATGTCTTTGGTATTTTGATTGTTTTCTTAATTTCTTCTTCTGATTATTTGTTGTTAGTACATAGGAATGTGACAAATTTCTGTATATTAAGTTTGTATTCTGGTACTCTATTGAATTTTTTTCCTATTAATTTTTTGGTGAATTCCTTAGGGTTTTCTACATATATTATGTCATCTGCAAATTGTGGCAGTTTTACTTATTTTCCAATTTTGGATGCCTTTTATTTGTTTTTCTTATTTGTCTGATTGCTGTGGCTAGGGCTTCTGATACTGCTATATTACATAATAGTGGTAAGAGTGGGCTTCCTTGTCTTGTTCCTGATCTTAGAGGAAAAGCTTTCAGTTTTTCACCATTGAGTGTGATGTTAGCTGTGGGTTTGTGATGTGTATAACCTTTATCAAGTTGAGCTAAGTTCCTTCTATACCCACTTTTTTTAGAGTTTTTTTTTTTATCATAAGTGGATGTTGATTCTGTCAAATGCCTTTTCTGCATCTATTGAGATCATATGAATTTTTTCCCTTCGTCTTACTGATGTGACGAATCACATTGTTTTGCAGGTGGTGAACCTCCATTGCACTCTAGGAGTAATGCCCACCCGATAATGTGTATAATCCTTTTAATGTACTGTTGAATTTGGTTTGTTAGTATTTTGTTGAAAATGTTGGCATCTATATTCATCTAGGGCTGTTGGCCTGTGATGTGTAGCCTTTGTCTGGTTTTGGTATTGCAGTAATAGTGATCTCATAGAATGAGTCTGGAAGTGTTCCTGCCTCTTCAGTTTTTTTGGAATAGTCTGAGGATAGTTACTTATCCTTCTTTAAAATGTTTGGTGGAATTCACTTGTGAATCTATCTAGTCCTGGGCTTTTGTTTGTTAGGAGATTTTTATTACTGCTTCAATTTCATCACTAGCAATATGTCTGTTCATATTCTTTGTTTATTCCTGGTTTAGTCTTAGAAGACTGTGTTTTTAGAAATTTATATATTTTTCCTAGATTGTCCATTTGTTGGCATATAATTATTTATAGTATTCTTTAATGATCCTTTGTATTTCTGTGGTTTCGGTTGTAATCTCTCCTCTTTCATTTCTGCTTGTGTTTATTTGTGTTCTCTCTGTTTTGCTTGATGAGTCTTATCCAATGTTTGCCCATTTTATTTATCATTTCAATGTACTCGGTCTTAGTTTCATTGATTTTTTTCTATTCTCTCTTTTTTATTTTGTTTATTTCCACTTTGATATTTATTATTTCCTTCTACCTACTTTGGGTTTTGTTTGTTCCTCTTTTTCTATTTCCTTTAGGTGTAAATTTAGAGTATTTATTTGGAATTTTTTTCTGCTGCTTGAGGTAGGCCTATATAGCTATAAACTTCCTTCTTATAACTGCTTTTGCTGCATCCCATAAATTTTGTAAGGTTGTGTTTTCATTTTCATTTGTCACAAGGTAGTTTGTAATGTCTTGTTTGATTCATTGTTTGTTTAGGGAGCATGTTGTTTAATCTCCGGATATTTGCATTTTTTCTGTTGTTCTTCCTGTAGTTGATTTCTCATTTCATGCCATTTTGGTCAGAAAATATGCTTGATATAATTTCAGTCTTCTTAAATTTACTGAGGCTTGTCTTGTGGCCTAGTATGTAATGTATCCTGGAAAATATTCCATCTGTACTTGAGAAAAATGTGTAACCTACAGTTTTTGGGTGAAATGCTCTATAAAAATTTATTAAGTCAAACTGGTCTAATGTGGCATTGAAATCCATTATTTTCTCATTAATTTCTTGTCTGAATGATCTATCCATTGAGGTAAGTAGAAGTTACCAACTATTACAGTATTACTGTTAATTTTTGCCATTATTTCTCTTAGTAGCTTTATATACTTGGATGCTCCTATGTTGGGTCTATAGATATTTACAATTTTTATATCCTCTTCTGGGATTTACCCCTTTAAAACTAATGTCCTCGTCTCTTTTTCACATTCTTTGTTTTAAAGTCTATTTTGTCTGATATGAGTATTGCTACCCTGGCTTCTTTTCATTTCTGTTTACATGAATACCTTTTTCCATTCCTTCACTTTCTGTCCATGTGTGTCTTTTAATCTAAAGTGAGTGTCTTGTAAGCAGCATACAGATGGTCAGCTTTTTATCTATTCTGGCACTTTATGCCTTTTGATTGTAGCATTAATCCATTTACATGTAAAGTAATTATTGGTGGGTTTGTACTTACTGCCTTTTTGTTGTTTTTTGGTTGTTTTTGTTTCTTTTCTTGATCTTGTTTCTTTTGATTTGTCGGTTTTCTAGTGTTTTAATTAGATTCCTTTCTCTTCATTTTTTCTAGGTTTTTGGTTTGTGGTTGACATGAGGTTTATATGTACCCACCTATATTTATAGGAGTCTATTTTAATCTGATAGGTATTTAAGGTCAACCACATTCTAAAAGCACTACATTTTTACTCCCTCCTCCACTCTTCATGTTTTTGGTTTCATGTTTTTATCTTTTTGTGTATCTCCTGACTATTTATTATAGTTATAGTTAATTTTGCTGCGATTGTCTTTTAACCTTCATATTAGTTTTTTAAAAATTTTATCTTTATTGTTGAAAATATTACAGATGTCCCCTTTTCTCCCCATTGTCCCCTTCCACCCCGAGCCCACTCCCCGCCCAGGCCTTCACCACACTATTGCCTGGGTCCATGGGTTATGCATATATGCATATAAATTTTTTGGTTAATACCCACCCACCTACCCACCCCTACCTTCCCTCTGAGACTAGTCAGTCTGTTCTGTGCTTCTATGTCATTGAATCTATTTTGTTCATCAGTTTATTATGTTCTTTAGATTCCACATATAAGTGAGATCATGTGATGTTTGTCTTTCTCTGCCTGGCTTATTTTGCTTAGCATAATATTCTCCAGGTCCATCCATACTGTCCCAAAGAGACCCTTCTTCTTAACAGCTGCATCATGGTGTAAATGTCCCACAGTTTTTTTTATCCATTCATCTATTGATGGGCACTTGGGCTGTTTCCAGATCTTAGCTATTGTAAATTGTGCTGCTATGAACATAGGGTGCATATATTCTTTCTGATTAGTGTTTCAGGTTTCTTAGGATATATTCTTAGAAGTGGTATCACTAGATCAAAAGGCAGTTCTATTTTTTAATTTTTTGAGGAACCTCATTACTGTCTTCCATAGTGGCTGCACAGTCTGCATTCCCACCAGCAGTGCACCAGTGTTCCCCTTTCTCCACACCCTCGCCAGCATGTGTCATTTGTTGATGGTGCCCTTCTGACAGGTGTGAAGTGATACCTCATTGTGGTTTTAATTTGCATCTCTCTGATGATTAGAGACTTTGAACATTTTTTCATATGTCTCTTGTCCATCTGTATGTCCTCTTTGGAGAAGTGTCTAGTCAGGTCCTTTGCCCATTTTTAAATTGGATTGTCTTCTTGTTGAGTTGTATGAGTTCTTTGTACACTTTGGAAATTAGCCCCTTATCAGATGCATCCTTAGCAAATATGTTCTCCCATACGTGGATTTCCTTTGTATTTTGAGGCTGATTTCCTTGGCTGTGCAGAAGCTTTTTAGTTTGATGTAGTCCCATTTGTTTATTTTTTCTTTAGTTTCTCTTGCCCTAGGAGATGTATTGGTGAAAATTCTACTACGTGAGATGTCTGTGACTTTACTGCCTATGTTTTCTTCCAGGATGGGATTTTATGGTTTTGCAACTTACATTTAAGTCTTTTATCCATTTTGAATTTATTCTTGTGTATGGAGTAAGTATCTTTATTGATCTCAGAGAGAGGGAGGGAGAGAGAGAGAAACATCAGTGATGAGAGTCATTGATCAGCTGCCTCCTGCACGGCCCTGACTGGAGATCAAGCCTGCAACCCGGGCATGCACCCTGACTGGGAATCAAACCTCCGTCTCCTGGATCATAGGTTGATGCTCAACCACTGAGCTATGCCCAGCTGGGCCCAACACCATTTATTGAGGAGACTGTCTTTACTCCATTGTATGCTCTTCCCTCCTTTGTCAAATATTAATTGATCATAATGGTGTGGATCTGTTTCTGGGGTCTCTGTTATGTTCCATTGATCTATATGTCTGTTGTTGTACCAGTACCAGGCTGTTTTGATTACAGTGGCTTTGTAGTATGGTTTGATACCCAGTAAAGTGATCCCTCCAACTTTGTTCTTCTTTCTCAAGATTGCTGTGGCTATTTGGGGTCTTTTTTGGTTCCATATAGATTTTTGGAATATTTGTTCTAGCTCTGTGAAATATGCTGTTGGTATTCTTAAAAAAATATATCTTTATTGATTTCAGAGAGAGGAAAGGAGAGGGGGAGAGAGAGAGATAGAAACATCAATGATAAGAGAGTCATTGATCAAACCCACAACCCGGGCATGTGCCCTGACCGGGAATTGAACCCCGATTGCCTGGATCCTAGGTTGACGCTCAACCGCTGAGCCACACCCAGTCGGGCTGCTGTTGGTATTCTTCATATTAGTTTTTAAGTGATTGATTCACTGTGATTATTGTTTATTTTCCTCTACTAGTAAGATTGTTTTCTTTCCTATATTTTTTCTGGTATGTCCTTTGTTTTTCTGTATAAAGGAGACATTTTAACATTTCTTTTAAAGCTGGTTTAGTGGTTGTGAACTTCTTTTTATTATTTTTTTAATGGAATTTATTGGGGTGACATTGGTTAATAAAATTATATAGGTTTCAAGTGTACAATTCTATAATAAATCATCTGTATATTGTATTGTGTGTTCACCACCCCAGGTTAGGTCTCCTTCTATCTCCATTTATCCCCCCTTTACCCTCTTCTGCCTCCCCTCAATGCCCCTGTCCCTGTGTATGAGATATTTTTTTGTTATTGTTTTTTTCCTTAATCCCTTCATCTTTTTCATCTAGCCCTCCTATCCCCTCTCCCCTCTGTCAGTCTGTCAATCTGTCTCTCTCTCTATGAGTCTGTTTGTATTTTGTTTTTTAGTTTATTTTGTTCATTAGATTCCACATATGAGTGAAATCATATGATCCTTTTGATTTTGCTTGTCTGGGAAACTCTTTTCATTCTAGGTTGTAAATTTCTTTCTTTCAACACTTTAATAATTTCCTGCCACTCCCTTCTGGCCGGTAGAGTTGCTTCTGAGAAATCAGCTGATAGCCTTATAGACTATCACTTGTATGTGATTTGTTTCATTCTTGCTGCCTTTAAGATTTTCTCTTAATCCTTAACATATACTGTTTTAATTACAATATGTCTTGGTATGGGTCTCTTGACTTCATGTTGTTTGGAACTGTCTATACTTCCTGAACCTGTATGTCTGTTTCCTTTCCCAGGTTGGGAAAGTTTCCAGCCATTATTTCTTCAAATATTCTTTTTGCCCCTTTCTGTCTCACTTCTCCTTCTGAAATCCCTGTAATTCAAATATTAGGGCTCTTGATGTTATCCCAGAGCTCTCTTATACTATCCTCATTTTTTTATATTATTTTTTAACTTGTTGTTTTGATTGGGTGATTTCCACTATTTTGTCTTCCAGGTTGGTACTCTGTTCTTCTGTATTAACTAAACTGCTGTTGATTCCTTGTAATGTATACTTCATTTCAGTTATTGTATTCTTTATCTCTATTTGGTTCATTACTTTTTCTGTCTCTTTGTTGAAGTGCTAATTTCCTGTATTCTACTCTGAAGTTTGTTAAGCATCTTTATGACTGTTTCATTGGATTCTTTATTGGGCAAATTACTTATCTCTGTTTCATTAGGACTTTTCTCTGGAATCTTATTGTTGTCCCTTCATTTTGGGGCGTATTCTTCTGTCTTCCCATTTTCTTTTGACTTTCTGTGTTTGTTTCTACGAGTTGGGTGTAATAGCTCTCTCTCCTAGTCTTAAAAAAGTGGTCTCTGTGTAGACTGTGTCGAATAGTTTTTGCAGGTTTTAGTTGGGGTGGGTGGGTACACTGCCTGGTGTCACCTGGCCTGAAGGAGTGGATTCTGGGTGGGGCAGCCTTGCGTATGCATGTTGCCTATTCCTTCTAATCTGGGTGGGGCTGCCTGGTGTAGATGGTGCTTCTTGTTGTGCTCTTAGCTTAACCTCTTGATTTACTGTCTGCTATCAGCAGGGTGTGGGTGGGCCTGCTTCACTGCTTGTGTCTCAGCATCCCATAAGCTTGCCACTCTCCAGGTTGTGTAAGCCTGCTGTGTGCACACAGCCGCACTTTGCTAGTTGTGCTCCCTCTCTGGGCAGTGCAGCTCCTTGTGCACTCAGCTGTGCCCCATTCATTCTGCATGGCTAGCCATATGTGTATGCCCTGTTGCTTTAATTGTCCTCTGTCAAAGCAGGGTTTGGGCATGGCAACTCTGCATGCATGCATCTCAATGCCCTGCTAGCTCTGGGTGGGGTAGCCTTGCCTACACACACAGCCTTTAGTTGTGAATTCTGTACCCAATCTGGGTGGGGTACAGATTGCATAGCAGTACCCCATTCACTTTGCATGGGGCAACCCTGCATGTTGGATACTGCAAAGTCTTGCTAGCTCTGCATTTTTCTCAGACAGGGCAGTCCCACATGCATGTGCAACTGCACCCACTATCTCTGCACTTTCTCTGGAAGGGAAATCCAGCATGTGAATATTGCAGCATTTTTCTAGCTCCACAGTCTCTCAAGGAGGAGCAGCTTCATGTGAGCGCACAATAGTGCTCCACTACCTTTGCACTTTCTCTGGACAGGGTAGTCCTGCAGGCAAATACCACAGCATTTTGTTGGTTCTGCACTCTCTCTACACGGGGAGCCCTGCTTGCACATGCAACAAAGTGGGTGTACAAAGCAGCACCTTTCTGCACCTGTTGGATCAATTTTCCAGGTGGAAGGATCGCCTTGTATACAAGCTGTGGTGCCCTCCTGTTTCTGCTAGATCTAGCTCTAGGACAGGTGGCTGAGGGCATACTACAGCGCCCTGAAGGTTGGCCAGAAAATCTGGATAGCTCTCTTGCCCACTATCCACATGCAGGGGAATGTATACAACGATGCTCACCAGTTGCTTTGGTACTGGGTTGTTCCCTCAGCTCCTGGAGAGCTCTTGTGGTTCCCCAACTTTGTCTATGTAGTCTCTCTTGCTTGTTGTGCAGAAGCTGTTTGATTTACTAATAGTTATCACCCAAGAGGAATTGCTGCTCTAAATATAGGTGTACATTTGATGTATTCTTTTTTTAAAAATATATTTTTATTGATTTCAGAGAGAGGAAGGCAGAGGGAGAGAGAGATAGAAACACCAATGGTGAGAGAGTCATTGATAGGCTGCCTCCTGCACCCCCCCTCCCCCCACTGGGAATCGAGCCCACAACCCGGGCATGTGCCCTGAGCAGGAATTGAACTGTGATCTTCTGGATCACAGGTCTATGCTCAACCACTGAGCCATGCCAGCTGGACTGATGTGTTCTTGGGAGGGAGGGAGTTCAGCAGCAAACTATACTGTTATCTTAAACCTGCCTCTGAATATCACTATATTGATAATAACAAGGGTGAAGTTTTTCTTCTAGAGCTTTCAGTGTATTGAATTTCAATCAATGTACACAAGGCAGAAAATCTATACTTTTGCTATGAATCATAAAAATGTTCAAATATTCTAATATAAGTTCAGTAAGAAGAAATCATTAATAATTTGCCTGTTTTTTTTACAGAAGTCTTATGTTAGAGAGACTTGGTGAAGGGGAAAACGGTAGTGAGTGTGGAGAAAACTTCAGTCTTATTCCAAACCTCAGTCTAAACAAGAAGACTCTTCCTGGAGTAAAACCATGCAAATATAGTGAATGTGGGGAAGTCTTCATGCATCATTCATCACAAAATAGGTACATCAGATGTCACGCTGGACACAAGCCCTCTGAGTATCAGAAATATGGAGAGAAGCCATATAAATGTAACATATGTGGGAGAGCCTTTAGTTATCTTCAGTGTTTTGAAAAACATGAACGAAATCACAATGGAGAAAAAGCCTATCAATGTAAGGAATGCGGGAAAACCTTTAGTTCTTCAACTTCACTTCAAATATGTGAGAGAACCCACCCTGGAGAGAAGCTCTGTCAATGCAGATACTGTGGGAAAGCCCTCAGAAATTATCGAAGTTGTCAAAGACATGAAAGAAGTCATATGGAAGAAAAACTATATGAATGTCAAAAATGTAGTAAAGCATTCAGATATTTTAGTAATCTTCAAACACATGAAAGAACTCACACTGCAGAAAAGCCCTATGAATGTAAGGAATGTGGAAAGGCGTTCAGATCTTGCAGTTCTTTACAACCACACAAATGGGCTCACACAGGAGAGAAACCTTATGAATGTAAGGAATGTGGAAAAGCATTCAGATATTATAGGTCCTTACAAACGCATGAAAGGTCTCACACTGGAGAGAAACCCTATGAATGTAAAACATGTAGTAAAGCATTCAGTGATCCTAGTTATCTTCGAAATCATGAAAAAATTCACAGTGCTGAGAAACCCTATGAATGTAAGAATTGTGGAAAAGCCTTCAGATCTTCCCGTTACTTAAAATCACATGAAAAGATTCACACAGGAGAGGAATCCTATGAATGTAAGGAATGTGGGGAAGTCTTCAGATCTTTCAGTTATTTACAAACACACAAAAATTCCCATGCTAGAGACAAACGCTATGAATGTAAGGAATGTGGAAAAGCCTTTAGATATTATAGTTCCTTACAAATACACGCAATATCTCACACTGGAGAGAAGCCCTATGCGTGTAAAAAATGTGGTAAAGTATTCAGGTATCTGAGTAATCTTCGAATACATGAAAGAATTCACACTGCAGAGAAACCCTGTGAATGTAAGGAGTGTGGAAAGGCCTTCAGGTCTCATCATTCTTTACAAACACATGAAAGGACTCACATGAGAGAGGCTCTATGAATGTAAACAGTGTTAAAGTCTACATTTCTCACAGTTCCCTTCAAAGACACCTGAAAATACATACTTGAAATAACACGTATAAGTGTAAGGAATGTGGGAAAGCATTTACTTGCCTTAGTTTGTGTCAAAGACACAAAAGATTTCAAACTGGAGAAAAACCCTATGAATGTAAACAATGTGGTAAAGCCTCCACAGAACAATTCCTCACAAAGACAGGAATAAACTCATACCAGAGAAATACCTATGAATGTAAGGAATGTGGAAAAGCCTTCATTTGTAACACAACCCTTTGAAAATCAGAGATTGTGAGTGCACAGTGGAGAGAACCATATACAGTCAAATCTCAGTTCTTAAACTTTTCCCATCTCAAACAATTCAGTTCTCGACCAAGTTATTCACAGAAAAAATGTCTTGGTTGTTGCCCTGGCCAGTGTTGCTCAGTGGTTAGAGCACCAGCCCACACACCAAAGGGTCGAGGGTTGGATTTCTGGTGAAGGACACACACCTGGGTTGTGGGTTTGATGCCTGGACCCTGTCAGGGAGTGTGCAGGAGGCAACCGATTGCGTGTCTCTCTCACATCAATGTTTCTCTCTGTCTCCTTCTCTCCCCCCTCTCCCCCCCCTCCACTCTTTCAAAAAATCAATGGAAAAAATATCCTCTGATGAAGAGTAGCAACAATAAAAAATGTCTCTGTTTTCCAGTTGTCCGAACCAAACTCTGGTTTTCCAACTGACAGCCCTTTCATGCTGGTACTTCAGCTTGACAAAAAGAGTCTCTCAAGCAGCAATGGCGAAAATGCTTTTGTTGCTGGTGATATGGACGATAGCACACTTTTAAAACAAAGAGGTCATCAAGAGTGCTAATGTTGCTAAGGGTGTGAGAGAAGCAATGATCACAGGCAGCTGAAGATGCAGAAAAACTATTGTTGATTTGGATAAACGAAAAGCAGCCCATGACAGCATATTGGAGGAAGTGATATGTGAAAAAGCAAAAACACATGCAGACCTCCTGAAAGACACTCGTAGAATGAGTGCTGAAAGTGATTTGTTTAAGGCTAGTAGGGGGTGGTTCAATAAATTTTAGAAAAGTGTTTGTGCCCTGGCGGGTTTAGCTCAGTTAGTCAGCCCTCGGACCAAAGGTTGAGGATTCAGTTCCCTGTCACTCCTACAGGTCCTAGGTTGTAGTCGTGCACCCTTCTACCATTCATATCCCAATCCCAGGTCTTCCCAGCGTCTGTGTACCTGTGTGTCAATACAGTGGGCCCTTGAACAAGGGTGGGGTTGCAAGTGCAGACACCCCCACCCTCACCCCACCCCAGGCAGTTGAAAATCCACATACAACTTAAGTCTGACCTCATTTGCAAATAGATTCCCAACTGCCATTTGATCCTTGAACAGTGTGGGTTTGAAATATCCAAGTCAATTGGTAAAAAATCCACATATAACCCACCCAGTTCAATCTGACTATAGTTCAAGGTTAAACTATTTTGAGTTGGGGAACCCTCATTCAAAACCCCTCTGGCCCATCCAACACAGATGTGCCGTTCTCCAACCGATTGCACTCAGGCACTCATTAGGAGTCGCCGGTATTGACCTGGGCGCACAGATGTCATTCACTAAACATAATAGTAATCAAGAAATGTCCAAAACACTCAAATTACGTGTAGCAGTCAGCTAATACTTCTGATGATTCCTTTGAAGAAAAACCCTGCAGCATGGTAGCTGATAACTGCTTGGCTCAGACTGCGTAGTAGCAGCCAGGGGGGTTCTGTGCCCCTGAAAGGGCTGCTCGCTGCAGGTGGGGAGGCTGCACTGGCAGTGCCACCAGTAGCGCCACAAATGACACACTGAAATACTAACATCACTGAAATAATTGAACAGTATGAAAACCATCCTGACACTTTCTTGGATCTCTAACCCTCTGGAATATCTGAATTCCATTTTTTTGGTTAATCTTCACCCAAGGATATTTTTTCCATTGATTTTAGAGTGGGAGGAATGGGGTGGGGTGGAGAGACACATTGATGTGAGACATGTCGACTGGTTGCCTCCCGCACGTACTCCAACCGGGGCCCACGGATCGAACCCGCAACCCAGGTACATGCCCTGATCTGGAATCAAACTGCAACCTTTTGGTGTACAGGATGATGCTCCAATCAACTGAGTCACTCTGGCCAGGGCCATCCTAGGTTCTTTTAATTTGCACATGAATTATAAACTCTTACCTATTACAACAAATAATCTGTTGAGACTTTGATTAATATTGCATTAAATTCATAAATCAATTTGTGAAGAATTGGCATCTTAACAATATTGAACTCTCCAGCTCATGAACCTTCTCTATCTCCATTTATTTAGGTCTTTAAAATTTTTTTCTACAGTTTTATTATTTTCAGTGTACAAATTCTGTATAAGTGTTATACTATTGTAAGTGGTAGTAATTTTCAAATTTTTTTTATCTCTGCTAGTGTATGAAAATACAACTGATTTTTTAAAAAAATATATATTGATTTCAGAGAGAGGAAAGGAGAGGGAGAGAAAGAAACATCAATGATGAGAGTGTCATTGATCAAGCCCACAACCCGGGCATGTGCCCTGCCGGGGAATTGAACCCCGATCTCCTGGATCCTAGACCGACGCTCAACCACTGAGCCACACCTGGCCAGGCACAACTGATTTTTCTGTTTTTCTTGCATCCTGCAACCTTGCTAAAGTCATATATTAGTTTTAATAACATTCTTTTGTAGATCTTAACAATTTTTTAGATAGACAATCATATCATCTTAGAATAAAAACATTTAAATTTCCTCCTTGACTTTATGGATGCTTTCACTTATTTTTCCTGCCGTATTGTACTTGCTAAAGCTTATAGTAAATGTGTAATAGAAGTGGTGAAAATCAACATCCTTGCTTTGTTCTTATGTTAAGAAGGAGCATTCATTATCCCCCCCATTGAGTATGATGTCAGCCACAGGTTTTTGTACGTGCCGTTTATCAAGTTGAGAAAGTTGTCTTTTGTTCTTTCTTTGTTGAGAGTTTTTATCAGCAAAGTATATTGGATTTTGTCACGTGTTTCTGCAACTAATGACATGTTTTTCTTTGTCAGTATAGTGAATTACATTAATTGATATACAACTATTACATGAAACTGGAATTGTTGGGATGAACTTTCTTGGCCATAATGTATTATATATATTTGGATTCAATTACTAAAATATTGTTAAGAACTTTTGCACCCAAGTTATTGAGAGACATTGGTCTGTCGTATTCTTTTCTTATAGTCTTTGTCTGCTTTTGGTATTAGGTTAATGCTGGTTGCACAGATGAAGAAGGGAACTATTACATATTCTTCAGTTTTTTATCCACAATTTGTAGAATTGGTATTACTTCTAACTTAAATGTTTGGGTAAATTCATCAGGGATGCAACCATAGATGTTCTTCCCAATTTGGATTCTGGAATAAATCTTACTTTTCATAATTTTTTCTTTCTGATATTGTGCTGGAGTTCATAAGCTAATATGATATGTAGAATGAGTGGATATAGATTTATAAATGGAATGGGAGAAACTCATTTTTCATATTCCAATTTGTGTCAAGATCATTAGAAGCTGAAGAAAATTGGTTAGGAGTTCACTATTTTATTTTGTGGTACAAATTTTGTAACTTAAAATTTTTAAAATGTTTTAATTGATTTCAGAGAGAGAGGGGGAGAGGGAGAGAGAGATAGAAACATCAATGATGAGAGTCATTGATCGTTTGCCTCCTGCACGCCCCTGACTGGGGATCGAGTCCGTAACCCGAGCATGTGCCCTGACCAGTAATCGAACCTCGATCTCCTGGATCCTAGGTCTATGCTCAACTCCTGAGCCATGCTGGCTGGGCTATTGTGTACATTAAAGTTTAGTAAGGAACGCTTATAAAGCAATATATACATAGGGTTTGTATGGTGTGTGAGCAATTATTTATTTAAATTTCATGCTTATGATCTCTTCAGGTTGTCTATCAACTTTGGTGTCAAGATATTAAAATCTGACAAGTTTGGAAGAAAAATAAGCTACCCAACTTTAAGCTGATATCAAGCAATAGAAACACCTGAGTTGTAAATAAAAAATTTCCTTCATAAAGGAAAATAATTAAGAAATAGGAAAATAAAAGTCAAGAAAATTTTAATTCGTCACTCCCAGCTTATGGCAGTTCAACTAAATAAAATTAGACACTGGAACACTCTCATTAACATTATTGTGGTGGGTCTATTTGGCATATATTAAATTAGTACTCTGTGTAAACTGTAAACATCTTCAAGTGTTTATTGAAAAGTACATTTTGACAATTTTATTAGTCAACAGAAGAAAAACACAAACTCCCATAATAGTAACGGACAAAATTATTTGAGCACAATGGAAAAATGAATTTTAATTTAAAATACCACTGTATGGGAACTGTTTAAAGTATCTCAAATGTTAAAAGAGTTAACACAACAAAATTGAACATCATATAGAAAATCAAAACATTGAAATATAAGAACCAACAGAAAACAACTAAAGTAATGATTGGATAAAAGTAGTTTAACATAAATCATGAAGTAATAAAAATTAATTTATTTTTAAATATGTTTTTATTGATTTTAGAGAGAGAGAGAGAAACATTGATCGATTGCTTTTTGTATGCAACCCGACCAGGGACCGAACCTGAAACCTGGGCGTGCGCCCTAATCGGGAATCAAATGGGGGACCTTTTGGTGCACAGGATGATACTCGACCAACTGAGCCACACCAGCCGGGGCTGAAAATTAATTTTTAAATGTTCAAAATTAAGTTGAAATTTTTTAGAAGTTAGATTTACACCAAAATAATTCCCAGGAAAGGAAGATAAATTAATAAAGAGAAAAATATGCTTTAAGAAAAATAAAGATATGAGAGCCATTTTTAAATTTAAGAACTTTTTAGCTAATCAAGATAAAAAGCAGAGAATGTTTAAATGAAGGATAAGAAATGACATAGAATTAACTGCAAAGAATATTAAACTTGAAGTCTATTTTAAAAATAAAACAACTGATGTTTATTTTTCAAAGAAAATGTAAGTTAACAAAATTGCTTTTATAAAAAACTTGATCTGTTGGGGTAGAAAATAATAGAAATTCCTGAAAAGAAGATGACTTTTGAGGATAATCCAAATGATTGAAGAACTGCTAAGCCAGGCGCTATTTAAACTCCTCTGGGAGCATGGGGAAAACAGGAGTGCTTCCATCTTGGCTTCTGGCTCTAGTTTTCGATCCCATTTTGGAACACACCCAAACCTATTAGTAAAGTTCTATGGAGCTGTGTGTGTGCAGGTCCTTAGAGAACGTCTTCCTGTCCCATACATTGATGTGCCTCCCATTAATCAGAACTTAAAAAACAAATCTGTCCAGTTGACAGCTGTATTATCTAGCCAATTGACCCCTCATCCCTCACACAACACCCTTTGGACCGAGTTTGCCTCATCACAATGAAAAAGCCATGGCAGGGTGTTCTAGAACCCTGAGGACATGATTCGTACCAGATCCACAGGCCAGGGCAGGAGAGTCTCTGCCTGGAAAGCATGATATAAAACCTTGCCTTTCTCCTGGCTTGGCGTTAGGGTTGCCCCTGAGTTTTTTGACTTGACAGTTCTAATGCTAGTGCCTCCGTTTAGGTAGACTTGGAAGAACTGCCGGTCTGAACTGGCCTTGCTCTTTGCCATTAAGATCAACAAGGACTCCCATCTCCTCCCCAACCTGTTCTTGGGTTTTGATCTCTACAGTGCCTTTCTCAGTGACAAGAGGACCTTGGAGAGTGTTCTGTTTGGGCTCTCAGGAGGAAATCAGACTCTCCTCAACTACAACTGTCAGAGACAAAAGAAATCTGTAGCCATCATTGCAGGAACCACATTAGGCTTTTCAGCTGAGATTGGAACAAACCTGAAGCTCTATAAAAGCCCACAGGTTAGTGCGTTGTGAATTCTGAAGAGAGATGTTTTTTTGTTTCCTTCTTTTATTAAAATTGAATTTATTGGGGGTGGCATTGGTTAATAAACTTATGTAGATTTCGGGGGTACAAGTCTATAATGCATCATCTGTATATTGTGTTGTGTGTTCACCACCCCAAGTCAAGTTTCCTTCCATCACCATTTATCCTCACTTTACCTCCCCCACCCCCTTTCCTTCTGCTAATCATACTGTTGTCTGTGAGGTGTGCTTTTTTGGGGGGGTTCTTAATCCCTGGATTTAACCTTTTTCACCCAGCACCCCACCCCCTGAAGAGATATGTTTGAGTGCCACCAATGCCATGTTCTCTCATCTCTTCAAAGGGAAATGTAGAGACTGGGTGTATCCCTTAAGTGTTTAAAACACATCCCCCAAATCCCTTGAGTTAGTGATTAACTGTGATGAGGAGGAGGAAGGGGAAGGAGCAGGACAATGGACTCCACAACCCAGATTCCCATCTAGGCCCATTTCCAGGCTCCAGCCCATGGGAATTTTTACTGCTGAGACCCTCAGCTGTGTGCCTTGTAGGAAATGTCCACAGCCTGGAGAACTGCCCCATTCCAGGCTGTGACTGTCTCAGCGAACATTTAGAAGCCAATGACTGGCAGACATGAGGATAGAAAGGCCTGGACATCTGGTCTCAGTTTAGGACAATACTGAAGGGTCATCCCAGCTCCAAAGAGCCCAAAGGACAGTCTGAGACTCACAGCTGTACCTTAGTTTTTCCTCCCCCTCTGCCCACTCCTGCCTTGCCCACATCGCACACATGCATGACATGAGAGTACTCCCAGTGAACTTTCCACATACAACCGTCAATCTCAGATGCCTTCCAGGGGACTCAATCTGAGAGAAGCAGCACTCAGGAGACATTACTGCCAAACAAGATGTTAGCTTAGAAAAACTCTGTTCCGAAAGAATCATGTTTTAGAAAGTCAGAGAGTAGGTGACTGTATTCTTCAAGACAGCATAGGTTATGCAGTGGGAAATAAGGTAAGTCCACTGTGTCAATACACTAATACAGTAAGATTTTTCCATCTAATGTTTTTTCAACATTATAGCAATTGGAGGAGACATTCTGTTCCACAAGTCACAGGGCGTAAGGCTGATGACAAAACCACCATCTTGATGATGTATCATCTGAAGTTCATACTTTCCTCAGTTCCCATCACAGGAGCTGAAGAGCATGTGGGTCCTTGCACATTGTATTTCTTGCTTTGGTCTTGAAGTAAACCATAGATTAGAAGTAGTCTCATGTTCCTTACTAAAAACAAGCATGCTGTGTGCCTGGAATGAAAGAACTGGATATTCTCTACAGCCATCTTTCTGTTCACCCTGCATTCCAGCCAGTTGCCCTCTTGTGTACAGAATTCTCGCACACACACCACTCCCAAAGGAAACAACCCGTGTCACACTAAATAGAATCAGATCATTTGTTTTCTTATTCAGGTCACATATGGTCCTTTTGATCCCATCCTGAGTAACAAGTCCAGTTCCCATCACTCTATCAGATGGCCGACAAGGACAGCTCCCTGGCCCATGGAATCTGGTTATTGCTACCTTTTGGCTGGACCTGGGTGGCATTTGTAAGTGATGATGTGAAAGGACAACAGCTTGTCTGGGATCTGAAAGCATAGATGGTAAAGAAAGACATCTGTGTGTCTTTTATAGAAAAACTCCCTACTGCTAACAGAGGCAAGTGATGAGACTCTCATGTCCAGATTCAGAGTTTCATCAGCAAATGTGTATATAATGTATGGTGATAAAGACTTTATGACCCTAGACATAGCAGAACAATTCTATTTAACCTCGGGAAGGTGTAGATCATGGCAGCAAAGTGGGATATTGGTACATATGAGATGGACCACATGCTACACTTTTTCTCTGGAAGCCTCATATTTGCACATCAGAAGAGAGAAATCCGTGACTTTAACCACCTTTTCAAAGCAGTTAATTCATCCATGTGTCCAGAAGACTTTTACTTCGTAAATTCTGGCTGGACATATTTCACTGCTCCCTTGCTGAGTCCCTATGTGGAAAAATTGAACACTGCCCACCAAACTCGTCCTTAGAGTTTATGCCAGAAAATACTGGCATGATTACAGTAACAGGCTCCAACTATTTTATCTATAATGCTGTGGATGCAGTGGCCCAAGCCCTCCACGAAACACTTTTGGTGAAAACAGAAATTGTATCTTCAGGACATGCAGACCAACATATGCTTCTTCCCTGGCAGGTAAATGTCTTTTAGAATCAGTCCATGCATTGACCACTTTATGGCATCTGGGAGTATTTTTTTGAGATAGAATAAATATCATGACCAAGTTTTTGTTTTTGTTTTGTTTTTCTCAAGGTTGGCAGCATCAGGCAAAATAAAGAAGTTTCTTTCATATTTGGTTATATGTGTATCTGTAATTGTTCTAGCTCTGGGCTCTGGGATTCTTTCTCTTAAGCACAGAATGAGTGGGGGTGGGGAAGAGATGTATGGAAGGTTCAAGGCTTGCCAGGTTAAAAGACTAAAATGGAGCCAGACTCTCTCACAGATGGTGAAGTGACATTTAAGTGTCTGCATTTCTAAGCAAGGGTCACAGTTCTATGAGTGGACTCACAGCCTTACCGCCAAGCCCTTGATCCCTAGAGGACATAAGACCCTCTTGTCCAGTGTGGCCTGGCCTGGGCACCTTTTTGTGTGTACTTAACTGCTCCATCTAGAAACTAAATCAGGATTCCCTGTGCACACCTGTGCCCTCCCCTTCACAAAGAGCTGGGCAGAAATAATACGAGCAGCCCAGGAGCAGAAAAAATTCTGTTTATGCAAAGTCCGAAGCTGGGGCAGCTTCCCATTCACAGGGGAGGCTGCCTCGGCGGAGCCGCGGCTCTCCCGCGCTGCCACTCAGCCTTGCACCTGCCCAATCAGGAGCGCGCTGGGGCAAGTGGGCGGGGCATCCCTCGCGGCTGCCGGAGCGCTTGGGCTCCAGCGTGGCCCGCCCTTCGGGTTCCCCAGCGGGTCCCCTGCGGCGTGTGTCGCGCTGTGATCTGCACCGGTCCTGGGAGTTGTAGGAAGGACTCAGGAAGACCCAGGAAGCCCAGCAATGGTGAGTGTGCGGCCGGGTGCAGACAGGAGGAGGGGCTGGTTTGAACCGGTTGAAACCGGCTGTGCTCCGACCGGCCTCACCCCGTCACCTCGGAGTCTGAGGACCCGAGTCCACTGGGGTGGTGCTCGGACCTTGTTCCCCCCGGCACCCGGCATGGGTGCTGGGCCGGCAGCGGGGACCCCGAGCGTCCTGTCTGTCACTGCGCCGCGACTTCGGCCCCGGAGCCTCTCCGCGCCCGCGGCCCCGCGTCTCCCCAGGTGGCGCAGTGACCACGGGGAGGGTCAGCAGGGGACAGTTGTGACTCGGTCTGTGGGGTTCATTTGTGAAGGAGCTGTGGTCAGTGGGGTCCCCAGTGTGGAGGAAAAGGGCGCTATAATAAATCTAACCGAAAGTAACCTAACGGCGTGATCAGATCGTACATTCCAACTAGACAGGTCATGGTAGGTAGTCACGCCCCAGCGCTCAGTTCCTTTAACAAAACGTTCATCTTTGCCTCAAGCGAGCCCTGTCCATTGTTCTTGTGCATCTAGGCTCACACACCTTTGAAATGCCTCTTTTTCAGACATCTTGGAACCATAACTGCCCTCAAGGGAGCACATAATCTTTTAAGTATCCTGTAACCCAATCCCCACTTGCTTTCTCCCACAGGCATGCAGTCTTCCTAGGTCCCCTCCTGAATTCCAAATGCATAAAAGAAACTGCAAACTGGAAGAGAACTGCAAGAAGCATTTTCTCAGTCGGTGGAGATCTTGCTTTTAGGCATATCCTCTGTTTGGATCAAATAAACTGTAATAAAAATTTTTCTTCAGGAACGGTTCTTGACACTAGTCCTTTCTGTGTCCCCAGGAGGACTGTTTCCTCTTGAGTTTTCCAAATGTTTGGGGAGCAGCGTCTCACATCCACAACCTTGTGTCTCCAACCTAGCTCTTTCTGGGTCAAGTCCCTATAACTTTAAAAATATATTTTTTTGCTTATGGACATTTTACATGAGAGGAAAGCCGAGAACAACCACAGGGAAAACTTGAAATCCTTGAAATCAGATTGCTTGAAATCCCCATTCCTCTCTCTCCAGGACCTTCCCTGGGCACAGACATTCTATGAGAAATTCTTTGGATGGAGGTTCCTCTTTGGAAACTTGACTGGGTGACATGTACAGTCACACTGCCGCTCCCAGGGTTTGTCACCTTGAGAAGATGCATTGATTAAGTCTTCATTTTTCAATAGGGATAAAATGTCAATAGAGCTTGAAACACAATAGAAAATATTTTCAAACAGACAAGAAAGAGGTGAATTTCAGGAAAAAAATTCCATTATTACATTCCATTTGTATAGAATTCTTCTTTCACTCTTTCTTCCCCTAAGTATGTGTAGTAAGTTTCTTAGGTCTGTTTTTGTTTGTTTGTGTAACTTTTGGGTGTTTTAAAATCAAATTGCAGGGTTTAGACTTGCAGAGTAGAAGTGTTCAAGTATGATTAATCATTTTCAAACCAGTTGTTTTCCCTGGAAATGCAATTATCTGCCTTTTTTTCTGAAAGTAATAGGCATTAGAAATTTTCTCATTGAACTAGTTTTTACCCTTACAGTTTTCTTCCTTCCTTTCCATCTAAGGCTGGGTTTATGTGATTTAGGTGGATTGTTTAAACACTGGGCTTTTGTTGTTTAAAATATCAATAGTGATCCAAAGCATCTCCAGTGGGGGTTAGAGGCCTGTGGTTAGTGATGCAAACTAAGACTTCCTTGAGCCTAGGAAGTTCTTGAAGACCCAGTAAATCTTCCTGGGAACCCCCTGCCACCCCCACACCCCGCTCTTGCAGCCGTCCTGCCTGCTCACACCCACTATGGAAGGTGCCTGTACACTGAGAGAAGCTACAGCCCTGGAAAACTGGGGATGTAATGGGCACATGAGGTTGGGGGGCGGGGGGAGGGTGATGATACCCTTTTTGAGGTTATAGTTTCTTTTTTGTTGTTTTGTTTTTAATCATCACCGAGGATATTTTTCCATTGATTTTTAGAGAGTGGAAGGGGGAGAGGGAGGAAGAGAGAGACAGAGATCCATGTGAGAGAGAAACATGGATTGGTTGCCTCCCACACGTGCCCCAACCAGAGCCGGGGATCCAACCTGCAACCCAGGTAGTGTCCTGACTGGAATCGAACCCATGACCTTCTGGTGCACGGGACGCTCCAACCCACTGAGCCACACTGGCCAGGGTTGAGGTTATAGTTTCTTAGGCCTAGATATTTTTAGACCTTAGGTTTGAGTTTTGAGGCTTGAGTAGGTGCGCTGAGAGTGTAATTTTTGCACATTGAGAAAGTCTGAAGATCAGGCGTTCTGACTCCTGGACAGAGGTTTGATGAATTGGGGAGTTCATTTGGTTCAGGACCTTGAACTGAATGAGGCTGAGGGTTTCCTCACTTGTAAGAATGGAAGCCTGGGGGAGGGAGCACTTTCATGCTTACAGGAGAGGGGGGCGTGCGGAGCTCCAGCGTTTATTCTTGGGGCTGTCCAGGTGTCCCTCCCGTCCTTCCCACTCTAGGGGCTCTATCTCAGTCAGGGCTGTCTAGACTCCAAGTTTGTGATTGTATTCTACGTTCTCAATGTGGGTCTTTAACTTAACTGTAAGGAAGCAGGCTGTTTCTCTGTTTTGATTCCAGTATTGCTGTTTTCATTGTATCCCTTTTTCCCTTGAATATTGCAGCCCTTTGATTCTCATTTCCATTAGCACCTGGGCTTTTATTTTATTTATTTATTTTTTTAAAAATATATCTTTATTGATCTCAGAGAGAGGAAAGGAGAGGGAGAGAGAGAGATAGAAACATCAATGAGAGAATCATTGATCGAGCCCACAATTCCTGGGCATGTGCCCTGACCGGGAGTCGAACCCCAATTTCCTGGATCCCAGGTTGAAGCTCAACTGCTGAGCCACGCCCAGCCGGGCAGCACCTGGGCTTTTAAAATGTAACTTGATTGAGGGAAATGATGCCAATAAGGCCAGATTGATTGTGCAGAACAAAATAAAATTTTGTTTACATTCAGGCAAGAGAACATGTATAGATATGAGATAGGTGTTTTTAAGTTCTAAGGTCTATTTTCCATTTTTAGGTCAGTTTTGTATGTGCCTGTCCCTAGAAAACTTTGACACGTAAAAAGCTGTACTAGTCTTAAAGTAAATAAACTTTTATTTTAATGGATTGGAGGAAAACAATTGAATTTTGATTTTCATTGATATGAGGAAACATATCAAAGCTTATGTAAATTTTTTGCCCGGCCAACATGGCTCAGCGGTTGAGCATCGACCTATGACCCAGGAGATCGAGGTTCGATTCCAGGTCAGGGCACATGCTCGGGTTACAGGCTCAATCCCCAGTGAGAGGCATGCAGGAGGCAGCTGATCAATGATTCTCTCATCATTGATGTTTCTATCTCTCTCTCCCTCTCCCTTCCTCTCTCCGAAATCAATAAAAATATATTTAAAAACAATGCTTATGTAAATTTTTGAAATTTCCAGCATAGGGCTAACCAAACCCTTAATGCATTTACTATGTTATTCATTCTTAAAATTATCCAGGAAGTGAAATATAGTTGATGAAAAAGCATTATAATTCCCCTTGGGTTGTGGGGTATTTTTTAGTTAGAAAGGGGTTTGTAAATTTTTTATACTCTAGTTTTATATCATTTACTTTTTTAAAAAATATATCTTTGTTGATTTCAGAGAGAGGAAGGGAGAGAGAGAGATAAACATCAATGATGAGAGAGTCATTGATCAGCTGCCTCCTGCACGTCCCCAACTGGGGATCGAGCCCCCAACCTGGGCATGTGCCCTGACCGGGAATCGAACCCCAATCGCCTGAATCCTAGGTCGACACTCAACCGCTGAGCCACACCCGGCCGGGCTCATTTACTTTTTAAAAGCTTAAATTTTGGAGTGGTTTCCTATATAGAAAAGTTAAAAACAATTAATTTTAAGAAGCAAAATTAATAATGATGATTAATCATAGGAAATACAGTGTATATAATTTTCTTTTCTTGTTTTAAATTAATAATGAATGGGGCCCCAGCCAGTTTTGCTCAGTGCTTAGAGAGTTGACCTGAAGACTGAAGGGTCCCAGGTTCAATTCCCGCCAAGGGCACGTACCTCGCTCGGTTGCAGGCTCAGTCCCTGGCCCCTGGGGCGCGTGCAGGAGGCAACCAATCGATGTGTCTCTTTCATATCGTTTCTCTCCCTCCCTCCCTCCCTCTCTCTCTCTCTCTCTCTCTCTCTTTCGTCCCCTCCCCCTTCTACTCTTTCTGAAAAGCAATGGAAAAATATCCAGTGAGGATTAAAATAATGATAATAATAATGAATGGGAACGTGTTTAGAAATGCCGGAGAGGAAGCGGGTTTAAGAAGGTCGCTGCCTGCACATCCTGCTGCACTGCTGTGCTCTAGCTCCCCCCATTCGCAAATGACCAGTTTTGATGATTCTTGCTCATCCTGTTGATATGTCTTTATATAAAAACAAGTCAGAGTAAACGCCTGTTTCTCCTACTTGTGTTTGTCCCTGTCGTGAGTGTCTGGCTCCACGCGTTTGATATTTGCCTTCAGAAACTTAGGCCTCACCCCTCCCTTTTTCCCGTGTCCTGGTCTGTCAGGCCCGTAAGAACCTGGAGGCTCCTGCTCTGAGCTGCTGCTTGCTGGGGAGCCCCTCCTGCGGCCTGTGTTGCATTGTGGCCTCCACCGGGCCTTAGTTCTGTACGCAGAGGACTCTGGGTTGACCGTTTAGTTAGTTTCTCATTCTTTGGGGGCAGGAGTGTGGGAATGGGACCCTCCTTAAAATGGTCCTGGGGTTGATGTCTTAGCTGGAACCTGTTTGTGTCTTTAGCATGAAGGTGTGAATGAGGCTGGGGTCACATCACAGTAGGGTGGGTCTAGGGGGGTACAAGAATGGGTATACCCCATGAAGGAGGTGAGCCCATCAGATGGTCAGTCCCTAAAGAGCAAGTATTTCAGAGAGAAAGACAGGATAAGGCAGCCCATAAGTGTGAAGCTGAGTCCACTTGCCTAATACCAGAGGGCTCCCCAGGACCCTTAAATACCTCTGCTGCTGCTGCGCCTGCCTCTACTGCAACACTGATCCTGACCCTCTGAGATCCGAGATATTGGGACAACATCCACAGTCTCACTCTGGCACAGCAAAGGGATTAGTTGAAACCAGACTTAAGCCCAGGGTCTGTAAATCCTATATAGCAGCAATTTCTGTGGGGGAGGCCTCTAGCCCTAGAGGGATTGATATGAGGTCCTCTGGAAGAAAAATTTACAAATACCAGGGTAGCGGGGACCCCACTTACCTGAAGTTTACACAGTGACGTAAAATACAAAATAGGAAAGGACACGAGAGGGCACAGGAGAAAATGGGTATTTAAAAAAAGGTCCACAATATGACCCAATTAGAAATCCAAAATATTCTAAAAGAATTTGCATAACAAAAATGATAAAAGGGGACTCCTTGGCTTCTGAGCCTCTGAAACATAGGTTTTGAAATGCAATTTCTAATATTGTAAACAAAATGTTATAGGGCAACAAACACAAAAGGTATTTTATCTTCATTAATTTTTTTCTATTCACATTTACCATTTACAATCTTTCTGGTGAATTTTTGAACGTTTTAGTCAAAGTAGGTGTACTAGTGACAAATTTCCTCAATTTTTGCCTAAGAAAGCCCATATTTCTTCTTTATTTTTGAAAGATAAGTTTATCCTGATTCACAACTTTAGGTTATGTTTTCTTTCACAACTTTAAATATTTACTCCACTCTCTTCTTGCTTGCATGGTTTTTGAAAAGAAGTTTGATTTAATTCTAGCTTTTGTTTCTCTGTAATTGAGGTGTTTCCCCTCGCTTCTTTCACGATGTCCTCTGTCTTTGACTTTTGTCTGGTTGAACATGAGGCACTTGGGCGTCCCCTTCTTTGCTCTTCAGGCCTCGTGCTGTCCCACCGCCTGGATCTCCAGCAGCCGTCTCACTAACCGAGCAAATCTCCGGGACTGTCGCTTGACTGGTTTCCCTTGGTCTCTTACGCGCCTCTCTGTCTTGTATGTTCTTCGGGTGTTTCCATCACGTGTATTTAACCTTCTGTTTGAAGCAGATACTTAGGGATTATGGTTATTGTCTCCCGTTTTTTGATTTTTTGTTGTTCGTTTTTCTTTGCATTAGAATTTGCTGGAATAGATGTTCCCTGAGAGTGCGGGCGAGGTTGATGCCCACCCGGCCCGAGTGTGCACGTGTTTCCGAGCCTGGCTGACCGCTCACGAGATAACTCGTGTCTGCGCCTTAGGTTCCTTTAAACACCTCGCTGCCCGAAGGAGCCGCCGCACAGGCGAGCCCTGGCTTCAGGTAGCCTCTCAGCAAGGTGTTAAGATCAGAATATTTGGGACATTTTCCTAAATGCCAGCTTACTTTTTCTTTCCCAATTTTGGTGACACTGGGTCGCACTGTCAACCAAATGCTCTAACAGAGCTAAGAAAGGAAGGTCATTGCAAGTTTTTTAGCTTTTTTCCTGTGAGTTTGGGAATGACAGCCTCTAAGTTACTTCAATGCCAGAGCAGAACCCCCGTAGCTCCTGCTCCAGTTCCCGAGGGCTGCTGCCAGCTTTGCAGCCTCATTCCCGCTGCTTTGCCCGCCCGCGGCTGTCCAAGGCGATACGGAGGCCTTCGCGTGCCCTCCTGTGGCGGGGAATTGACACCTCACCAGCTCCTGCCCTGTGTGTGAGCTCTCACACCCGCTCACCCTGGAGCCTCCTGAGACATGCCCATGCGCCATCTCCACGCATCTCTCAAGGCTCTTTAATGGCCCCCTGAGAGGCCCGCCTCACTCTAGCCAGACAGCTCAGTTGTGACCGTAACAAACCCTTTCACACCCTACAGGCTGTGTGTGCTGTTCACCAGCTGAGGGATTCCATGGTCAAGGGTTGCGCTCTCATGTTCCTTTACTCCCCCTGGAGCTTGGAAATGACAGAAGGGAGGGCAGCGTCTAGAGAGGATCGGAGAATGGACGCTGTGTGTTCTTTTGGAGGAAATCACTGCTGCAACCTTTACATGTTTTGTAATCAGGAGCAGGCTCATTATTGTGGGTGTCAGTGGATTCCCTAGCAGCCTGAAGCTCTGAGCCTGTTCCTCAGTGTCAGCAGCACCCAGGACAGACTGTAGTGACCCTGCTGGAAGAGCTCTCCTGGCACATTACTTTCTCAGTGTGTGTGCCAAAAATGGACTGGAAGCAGCCTGTGGCATAGTAGTATAGGGATTTTGTCGTGTGAGTTATCATGCCTTCTTTGTGTGCCTGAGCTCTAAGTTTTAAATAACTTTTTAGACCATGAAATCAGACAGAAAGAGAAAGGAAGAAGTGAGCCTGTGAAAAATATTACTCAAGGTAAGAGCAGTGCTTCTCTACAAGAATATTTCCATTCAGCCAGCTGCACACGGTTACTTCTAATGTCCTGGAGGAATTTAGGACAACATGGCCAGCTGAGCTTTGTTAAGCACTGGATTTCCACAGGCCTCCTGAACTCTCATGTTTGGTGATGGAACTAGAACAGAAAGCTTGTCATTCTTCACTGTGTTTTTATTCATTGATACCTCATTGCAGATGTTAACATCTGCCTCATGGAGTGTTGTAAATGGCAGGCAGTGAGTAAGGAGGTGAAAGTGTTTCTCACAAGGAATTGATGGTCTTAAAATGATAATATTTGTTTCATTTGAACAGCAATCCTGTCATTTCCAAACATTCTCTGAACTCTACCATTAGAAAAAAGCAAGGTGTAATTCGATTACAGTAACAATGCGTAAACAATGTCCACGTGTTCCTGATGCTGGTAAATTTATGAGGAAGCAAGTGTGGACAGAGAATGAGTTTCTCATCAAATCACAGGTAAATGTTTGGAGACAACAGAATCATAAGTAGCCTTCCTCTAAGTGGAGCCAGGGTGTCCAGTGCTGTCAGTCTCACGCATCCTAATATATACACATTGGGATGTTTTAGGACTCAGTGGCCTTTGAGGATGTGGCTGTGAACTTCAGTCTGGAGGAGTGGGCTTTATTGGATTCTCCACAAAAGAAACTCTACAGAGACGTGATGCGGGAAACCTTTAGGAACCTGGCCTCCATAGGTAAGGATGACAAGTTACCTTCACTTTGTTAGAGGACAGCCAGAGTTGTTCTAAGATATGGAATGTGGGAAGAAAGGACATTGGTAAATAAACTGGCATGGTCAGAGCTCATCATACAACCAGAATCTAATGATTTTTCTACAATTTCTAATAGTTTGGAATCAATTTTCTGGGTCTGCATTTTAGGAAAGAAATGGGAAGATTATGACACTGAAGATCAGTACAAAAACCAAAGGAGAAATCAGAGGTGAGTCACACTCAGAATAAAAAGCACGATCTTTGTGAGAAACCTGTTATGCTACCAAATTTAAAAAGAAGCAACCAAAATAACTTCTGCTTCAAATTTATTACTTCTCAGAAAATTTCCACCAAATTACTTTTTTATATATGACAAAGATGGTCAGTGCTTGAAAAGTAATTTAATTGGAAAGAGTGTTGATACCTTTACATGCCTACCACTGTTTTGATAGTAGCAAAGGCACATTCCTCTTGCAAAGCATTCAGTACATTGTTTCTAATCATTCATTCAGACAAGGGGAAAACCTAAAATTTTGCTTTTAATCATGAGATTATAGTTAAAATATTCTACTAATAATTTAAAAATCATTAATTAAAAAATAATTAGTAATATGCTTCTCAGTTTTTCCAGAAATCCAATATTAGAGAGACTCTGTGAAGGGAAAAAGAGTAGTCAATGTGGGGAAAACTTCAGCCTTATTTCAAATCTCAATTCGAAGAAGAAAACTCTTCCTGGAGTAAAACCTTGGGAATACAGTATATGTGGAAAAGTCTTCATGCATCATCCATCCCATAATATGCACATCAGATGTCACACTGAAAACAAGCCATATGAGTATCAAAATTACGGAGACAAGCTGTATAATTACGATCTATGTGGGAGAGCCTTCAGTTATCCCCAGTGTTTTGACAAACATGAAAGAAATCACAATGGAGAAAAAGCCTATCAATGTAAGGAATGTGGGAAAACCTTTAGTTCTTCAACTTCACTTCAAATACATGAAAGATCCCACACTGGAGAAAAACCTTATAAATGTAAACAGTGTGGTAAAGCATTCAGTTGTCTCAGTTCTCTTCGACGTCATGAAAAAGTTCACACTGGAGAGAAACCCTATGAATGTAAGGAGTGTGGAAAAACCTTCAGATATTATCAAAATTATAGAAGACATGAAAGTAAATTTACTGGAGAGAAGCCCTATGAATGTAAGGAATGTCGAAAAGCCTTCATATGTTATCAAAGTTTTCGAAGACATGAAAGAAATCACAGAGAAGTGAAACCATATGTGTGTAAGCAATGTGGTAAAACATTTAGTTGCCTCCGTTATCTTCGAAAACATGAAAGAAATCACACTGGAAAGAAACCCTATGAATGTAAAATATGTAGTAAAGCATTTAGGTATCCCAGTGATCTTCAGAAACATGAAAGAAACCACACTGGAGAGAAACCCTTTGAATGTATGGAATGTGGTAAAGCCTACAGGGATCCCAGTTCCTTACAAACACATCAGAGAACTCATATTGGAGAGAAACCCTATGAATGTAAGGAATGTGGCAAAGCTTTCAGTTCTCATCAGTGTGTCCAAATACATGAAAGAAACCACACTGGAGAGAAACCCTACGAATGTAAAATATGCAGCAAGACATTTGGTTATCCCAGTTCTCTTCGATATCACAAAAGAACACATACTGGAGAGAAATCCTATGGATGTAAGGAATGTGGGAAAGCCTATAGATACCTCAGTTCATTACGAATACATGAAAGAATTCACACTGGAGAGAAACCTTATGAATGTAAGGAGTGTGGGAAATCCTATAGATGTTATCAAAGCTTCCAAACACATGAAAGTAATCACACTGGAGAGAAACCATATGTATGTAAAAAATGTAGTAAAGCATTTAGCTGTCTCCACTATCTTAGAAAACATGAAATAAATCACACTGGAAAGAAACCCTATAAATGTAAAAAATGTAGTAAAGCATTTAGGTATCCCAGTGATCTTCAGAAACATGAAAGAAACCACACTGGAGAGAAACCCTTTGAATGTAAGGAATGTGGTAAAGCCTACAGAGATCCCAGTTCCTTACAAACACATGAAAAAACTCATACTGGAGACAAACCATATGGGTGTAAGGAATGTGGGAAGGCCTTCAAATGTTATCAAAGTTTTCAGACACATGAAAGGAGTCATACTGGAGAGAAACCCTATGTATGTAAAAAATGTAGTAAAGCATTTACTTGTCTTCGTTATCTTCGAAAACATGAAAGAACTCACACTGGAGAGAACGCTATATATGTAAGCAAGTTGGAAAAGTCTTCATTTATCACACAACCTTTCAAAACGTGAACATGCATACTGAAGAAAACATTAATGTGCAAAATTTGGGAAAGGTTTCAGTTACCTCAGTTTCTTTCAAAAGCATGAAAGGACTCACTGGATAAAAACTCTTGAATGTAAACAGTTTGGGAAAGATTTGAATTGGTCCACATTCTTACAAGTGAAAATTCCCTCCAAAAAAATAAAAAATAAAGAAATTAAAATGTAAGTAATGTGAGAAAGTTTGATAGAAACTAATCCATGTATAATGTGCCAGAGACTTTTCAACATGAAAGTTCTCATTAATGTTGTAAATATATTGTGCTTTTTGAACCCCTTTCTATACTTCATCATTGGGCTGTGGATTTCTCCTAATTACTTTCAGAAATGAATACTCACATGAGATAATAATGAGCCTTTCAACAATAGTACATAAAATTGATAGGTAGTACTTTTTTCTTAAAATATTTAATATTTTCTCTCTTTCTTGAAGCTTGTTAGATACATGGGTGAATTGAAGTCTATTTTTCATATGCAGTTAGGTTAAATATCTTTTTATAATGTTTTATTTGTTCTGTTGTACAGGGTCATTGAAAAATGACAGTTTGGTATTTGGGTTTTCTTAGTGGCCTGAGGCAGTCCATTATATATATTCTACCTTTCCCTCTGAAAAAGCTCCTTTTTGGGGATGATAAGTATAGGAGCCTTTTTCTATTTTCCATGCTAATAAATAGTTGGAATAAATTTTATGTGTAGCAATTTTAGGAAAGGATATAGTTACATGTGAATTATTTTCATATTTAGACCTTTGCTTTTTGTTCTTCCTTTGGACTGATGTTTGGTGAATAGACTTTGAATTAAGAAGAGGGACCTGTGATAGGACGACAAAATCAAGAGCTGAAGATTTTCCCTCCCGTTGGATAATGTTAGGGCCTTGACCCAGAGTTCATCTCCTTTATGGGCCATGTTAGAACTCTCTTGTAGCCTCACTTGCATGAGATTTGGAAGCAGAAACGAAGAAGGCATTAGTCAGGTTTTAGAGCCAACATTCACACAGACGAACAGACATAGGCACTCCAAAGGCAAAATCTGCCAGCCCGTCATCTGGATTGTTTGACCTTCCAGTCAAGACTATCCTCGAAACCACCACCAACTGTCTGATACACATTTTCTGAGAAGCGTAGGTTTCCACTGATGTCTTCACAAGATCCACATCAAAGATCCATCAGAGTGGATTTTTCTGTGAGCCCTCTTGTGTCCACCAGGAAACGGATCAGACTTTCATGCTTATGTCTGATTCCCCTCTTCTCTAGATTATATCTGTATACAGTCTAATTTGTACAGGAAACACCTTCTGTCGTTAACTGCCATTCAGTATGTTTTTCTTATTCACCATGGCATCCACAATGGTGCTGTCAAAAGAATGACACCTGTCAGAAAGACTGGGTGTTGCCTGTTACTTGTAGCTACATGTAATCCTTCAATATGTTTTTAATCATGTTTGTGTGTGATTAAAGGTACATGTATTTTCTGGTCAAATGAACACTTCTGTAGTTGTTTCATAAAAGCATTTTTTAAACTGTTTTCTAAGCTCTTGTATGCTAACAAATACTGTGTTTTTTATTTCCTGAGAAGATATCTTAAAATGTCTCATAATAATTATGGATTTTCAAATAAACTTTGTGATTCTCTTCATTAATAATTATACCATACGGGTTAATTTTATTATGTGCATTCATGTTCCGGTAATTTTTCCTAAGGCATATTTTGTTATATTTTTTTTATAGTTACAATTTTTGTCATGACTCTAATGCCATTCAGTCTTAATACCAAAACTGTAAATAGTGGTTTTTTTCTTGCTCTCTTGCCAGTGGCCTGTCTGATCAAGGCTGTAGTCAAAGAGAGGGTGTAATGAATTCTAACAGTAAGAAGAACCACAAAGCACACATGAGTGTGCTGTGTAACTGGAAGGGTTGATCAGGACTTGTGTCGGGTTTGGCCTGTGATAGACGATATTATGGCTATTCAAGGCTCTAAGGGGGTAAACGTATTATGTTATTGGTCATCATAAACCTTATTTTTTAGAAGGCAATGTAGTGGAGCTACACTTCATTTGTAAGAAGCCCCAGTGAGTCACATTAGTAAGAAGAGGGCAATATTGGTCACTTTTATAAATTGGAATTGTCACTTTTGCCATTTTGTGAGACATGGTTATAAAATATTTATTTATTTATTTATTTATTTATTTATTTATTTATTTATTTATTTTAAAATATATCTTTATTGATTTCAGAGAGAGGAAGGTGAGGGCGAGAGAGAGAGAGAAACATCAATGATGAGAGAGTCATTGATCGAGCCCGCAACCTGGGCATGTGCCCTGACCAGGAATCGAACCCCAATCGCCTGGATCCCAGGTCGATGCTGAACCCCTGAGCCACGCCCGGCCGGGCTAAAATATATTTTTGTCTTGGTCCGTCTTAGTCACTGAGTGCCTTTGATGAAGGTGGTGTGTGACATCTTTTTTCATCAGGATAAGACTTGACCTTGCAATGACTGCAGCTCCTCGTGCTCTTGGACAACCAATAGGCCAAAAAGTAAGATAAAGGAGAATTTTAAAAATACTGTTTTGAGACAATAAAAAAATTATAGCACAATTTATGAAAACTTGTGGGATGAAGCATCAAGAAGTAAAAGGGGAGTTTTATACCATTAACACCTATATTTAAAAAATATCAAAATAACAAGCTAAATTTACACCTCAAGAAACTAGCAAAAGAACAAGAAACTAAACCTTAAGTTAGTAAAAGGAAATAATAAAGATTAGAGCAGAAGTTAAATAAAATATAGAAAAACAATTAAAAGTATCACAGCTGTGTTAGTTTTTTGAAATAATAAGCAAAATTGACAAACTCTTACCTGACTCAAAAAAACTGAGAAGACTCAAGTACATAAAAATCAGAAATGAAAGAGAACATATTGCAATGAATGCCTAATAAAAAGAGATAAATAGGGACTATTATGAACATTTATAGGCAAGCAAATTGGATAACCTGGAAGAAATGGACAAATTCCTAGAAACACAACCTACCAAGAAGAAACAGACCCAGTGCAGGCACAGCAGGCTGTGAGGTACAGGCATGAAGGAAGTTCTTGCGCTCCCGGTACTTATGTTTTTGTGGGGAAAGAGATGAATAAGTGAGACAGGTGTGGTTTCTTAGTAGAAAATAAGGGCATTGCCCTGGCTGGTGTGACTCAGTTGGCTGAGCTCTGACCATTCACCGAGGTCTCCAGTTTGATCCCCGGTCAGGCACATGCCCCGATTGTGGGCTCCATCCCCAGTAGGGGCCGTGCAGGAGGCAGCCCATCGATGTTTCCCTCCCTCGCTCTTCTTCTCTCTCTAAAATCAATAAAAACATAGTTTACACTTGATCTTAGCCAAAAGGCCGAGAAGCGATAAAACATATTTTTAAAAAGAGAAGAAGGGCGTTGAAGGAAAGGAAGGAGTGACAGCTGAGACAACAGGAAAGAAGGGGGTGGATTATCTTCTTTCTGGAGGGTGGGGGGCCTCACTGAATGAAGATACCATTGACCCTTTCCCCCCCATCTAATACATCTTAAACACTGAGGAGCTGCTCAGCTGTGGATGTAGACGATGGGCAGCAATACCCAAACTCCTGCATTCCTGGGATTAACAGCAGATCCCCCCTTTCCCTAAGAAACTATTCCGCATCCATCGTTTTTCCAGGTTCGTGGGTCTGGCTGCTTGCTTGCCGCTTCCACCATCCCTTGCCCGAGGCAGCTACAAGTAACATTTGTCTTTCAATCTTTTAGCAAATAATGACACCACCTGGAAAGTTAGCACAGTCTGAGAAAGAGAAATATATATCAGCTATGCTCTGGTGCCTCAGTGAGCCAATGGACAGTTCACTGCCCTTCAGTCACACAATCGCCCTCAAAGGACAAGGTCAGTGTCATCTCCTGATTCCAGGGAGCCACACAAGGAACCTGGGCTCCCACCTTCACAACCACTGCTGCGCTGGGAATGGCATCAACCCCAAAATGCCGCATTGCTTTTCTTACCCAAATTCAGCAACCTTTTAATTTTTTAAAAGTAATTACTGTCCTTGGTGCTGTAAGTTTCTGATTCTATTCCACAGTGGGAAGCAGTTGATTCTGTTAGTTTTGTCCATTTTAACGGTTGCTTCGGTGGAGAGACTAACTCTTAGCTCCCAACTCTGCCATTTTTGTTAACATGATTGGAGAAAAAATGTTTTGAAATGTGACATTTTCTTATCCCCACTCCCATGATTTTTTTTTTTTTTTTTTTAATATATCTTTATTGATTTCAAAGAGAGGAAGGGAGAGGGAGAGATTGAGA